GAAAGGAGCCCGCTTCTACGAGGAGGCCAAGCGTTTACTGGACAAGGAAGAGGGGCGGATTACGCTTCCAACCGTCCAGGGACTAGGTGTATTGTGGGCATGGTATGTTTTGTGTCATTCTGGAGTGCTTATGATACTGACTGTGTAGTGCTTCGATGACTGGGCGGGATCGCCAAGGGTGGATTCACCGCGGCCAACTTGCCTATGCTATCCAGGAACTTTCGCAGAAGAATTCCGTTCTGGCGTCTGATGCCGATGAAGATACGCTCCGCATGGTTCGAGTTATTAACGGGACCGTTTGGGGACTGTTCAACGTGGCCACGTAAGCTTCTGCGCAACCCTCCAGGCGAATCGTGCAACTAACCCGTGAACAGGAGTCACGCCTTGGCCGACAAGAGCCGCCCCTTGATCAAGCCGCCGCAGCGCCACAGTCTGCCCCTCGTCAGCCATGAGGGCGACTCGGACGAATGGCGACCGTATCCGGATCATGCAGAAGGAACGGAGGGGCATTCGGTCTGTCTGTTCAGCGCGCTGTGCGGCTTGAGTTTGATTGCCCACGATGTAGCGACCTTCTTCCACCGCGAGGCGCCGTCGCGCCCACGGGCGGAGACAGAAAGTAAAGTGGCAGACCTTTATGAGCGTCTTCGTCTCTGCTCCGACCGGTGGCCCACGTGTCTGAAGACTAAACTCGAGGCCCCCCATATCCTCTCTTTGCAGTACGTCTAGAGTGTGAATCCGCCAGCACCCCTCACTAACCGGAGTAGTATGTATCACCATGCGATAATCATGAGAATCTACGAGCCGTTGAAAGAATATTCCACACTGCCCGTTACGACCATTTCGCCTGTGCGCGCCCGTGAGATGTGCTTCTCGTCGGCGCGTAATATCGCCCACCTGATGCGGATCCACCGTTCTTGCTGGGGACTCGACCGCATGCCCGTCAGCAACATCCAGTGTATCACCGAGGCTTTGTTCACGTTGCTGGATGACTTGGAGGAGCCCAACAACCGTGAGGCATTTATCACCCTCAGTATCGCGGCCAAGGCATTTTCGCGACGATGGGAGTCGAGCCGGACCATCCTGGGCACGCTCCGCACGACCGCCCAGGCCAAGAGGCTGACACTGCCCACGGAAACCGACTCGCTGTTTACCATCACGGTTGCACCACCGCCGCTTGGCGTGCGCGACAGCGTTGACCTCCTCGATGACAGTGAGGAGGCGTAGGATCAGGGTTGATGCCGTCGGACAAGCTAGGCACCCAGAACTGGCACTGCCTCTTGACTTACGGCGCTCTAGACCTTTAGGGATGTCTGGAAGGATGGACTGGTACTTGGTAGCATTATCCTTGTTGTGATAACCCCAGCGTGGCTTAGATGTGTGACATGCTGCGTGCCAGCCTTATGTTGCTCATCCGAGGCACGATCCGGGCCGACGGAATTGGTTCATATCCGTGATAGAATATAATACCCATAGAACCTGCAAGTTGATGTAGCCTTCCACAATATGTAGAAGAGCGAGGTGACCGACGCGCCTGACACTTTCACCAGTACTAGCTTGCGATGCCATCCAGACTCTCCATGCAGCTGAACTCAGTCTGATCACGTGGCCTGCTGGCTGCCGCTTGGGCCGCCGGGCAGACAAAGACACAACCACCATGTCGATGGTTTCCCTCTCCTCCCCCTGTAGATAAACGGGCTGTGCAGTCAGTTCGCACTGCAACTCTCATCCTATCAAATGTCTGTGACATCAACCAGACAGCAGCAGTGCGACGCAAACATCTCTCCTACAAGCCCCATCACAGAGGTTGGGCATCATGGTTTGACAGATGTGACTACGTGCCCACCCGCGGCGGCTAGCCAGCGCCACTAAATCCAGCCTCGTCGATCGCCAGCTATAAATCCTCCGTCGGCCGTCAGCTGCAAGCAACCTGTTAGTCTGACGTTCGCCAATTATGCTAGCATATGGGCCATCTTTCCGGCCCGTCTGACACAGTAAATGGAGAAGCTTCCCACAAGCTCCACGAGCACAATGCCCGACGGCATTACCATCTATGAGCGAGGTGGGTTCGTATCTGCTGAGCCGTGGCCATAGCGCTGATAAGCTCAGGAAACGGACCATGGATGGAAACTGGGGCATCCTTACTAGATTTGAATCTTGAGGTATGCATTCCGCGGTGGTCCTTGATGGCTGGCATTGACGACAGCAGCACCCGACAAGATCGTTTCTTATGTAGGATATACCAGTCCTCTCGGAATGAATTTTGTTTTCGTTAATGCGTGTAGATTCTCAAAACGCCAAACTCTGAATGAGAAGAAGTATCTGCGCCTCTTTACGGATGAATTTCAGCCTCTTATTAGTAAGGACATCAACGGGTCTTTGTTTTGTGACGATGTTCTCGACGAGAACGACAAGCCTATCAAGCACGGTTTGTTGTCAACCCAAGGTCGGATGGACAAACATGAGGCTAATGAATTCGTCAGTCTCCTGGGCTTGTTATAAGATAAAACACGTCCGCGATCCTCATACATACGAATGGATCCAAACTACCGTCTTTGTAACCTGGTATCCGGAAACCCAGATCCAAGTCGTATTTATCGTCGACCATCCAGACCCGCCCAGTAAGTTGGTTGCTATCCTACCCACGACTCAGGCAAACAACAACCCGTATGTCTGGCACGCTGTAATTGCGCACACCATGGTCGGTGTCTATGATGATTCTTTCTGGGCGCTTCGAAATCTTGTCCGCACCACTGAGAAGGTAGTATTAGCCCTGTCCAGATCACTGTACAGTATACTAATTTGAATACAGTCGAGAGTTGATGTAAATAGCCTGACCCCCGACTTTTTCCCTCATTTGCACGATATTGCACGACACGTCTTCCACTCAAACGAGACCCTTGAGGTCGCAGAACATACCATGCAATGCCTGGTGGAAGAGCAGGCGCGCTCCTACGAGCTGTACCCAAATATCAACAAGGGCGAATGGCTCCAGAATAAACGGAACCTGCTCCGACGGGCCAAGGACTTTCACTCACTGAAGATCCGAAGCCGATCGCTCTCGGAGCGGTTACACAACGAGATTAACTTGGTATCTACCCATATATCCCTTTGTTCGGGTAGAATTTGACGTAGTAGGGATTCAACCTCGTCTCCCAACGATTCGGTCACGATGCCAAGTCCGACAGCGCCATGATGAGAACGGTTGCGATCGTCAGTATGGTATATCTACCGGGAACATTTGTATCGGTATGTTACAACGTTGAAGCTTCATGGACTATCTCGGTGCTAAGAAGTGTAGGGCCTATTCGGGACGAATTTCTTTGATTACGAAAATGGAAACGAAGTCATGACCAGTTCATTTTGGATCTATTGGGCCATTACTATCCCGTTGACTCTGATCACGATGTTTGTCTGGGCGTGTTGGCATTATTATCCGAGGAAGAAGGTGGTGGGGGGAGAAAGACAACGAATGATGACGTTTGATGAGTCAAAGGTTTGATTGGTTTGTCTATCCTGGGTATAGTTTATGTGTAAATATGATGTGAGTCACGAGTATATTTGGCATGAAGTTACGAAAATTACAACGACATCTTTGACACATCCAATCGATAAGAGGTAGGGACGTGCCGTGAGTTTCTTTAAAAGCATGTTGCCGCTCTTGTCTACATTATTTTTCCATTTTCCGTATTCCCCCTTCAGTATTGCAGAGTCTGAAGTATGATATTGTCATGTTTGTATATGAATCTGCATTGTGATATATTCAGTACATATCAGCCCCCCCCCTCAATCAGCAGAACCGGATCGTCCGAGCTTCCCCACGTCCAGAACACAGACCGACAGTCATGTCCCATCTGCATGATCAACATGCATATACTATGAAACCTTATCGTTATAATCTACTGCCATCATATACAATGTATATACAAATATCGAATGATTAATCACTGCCATAAAATCTGCTATAGTCTTTTTCCAAAGAATTCTCATCAAATCGCTGAGGGCCAGTAAGCCTACAAATCAGATATTTGGTGCAGTATATATTCAATTTCAGTGTAGAAATGTGATCGGAAGTTACCAGTCCACAATATCGGATTCTTGAAAGTATTCTTACCATAGAGATATCTGAATAAGAAGACAAAATTAGAGGAACGGAGAGGAAGGAAAAAAGCAAAAGGTACCAAAGTACCAAATAACCTTCCGGGAAGAAAGCTAAAATTTCCAGATAAATTAGGAAAATGCAGATACTACTAGCGTAAGAAGAACTCTTGGAGCGGATACATATATTTAATCGGAAATTTATGAACAATGATGGCTCGAAGAAAAGCGAACACCGTGACAAAGAACTATCATTTCTAGATACTATATAGGAGGCACACCGGGATTTATTGATTATTCAAGTGGATTAAGGCTACATTTTAAAATGGGTAGCAGGAAACGGGCGGACAATCACGCCTTCCTGTAGTAGCCTAATATGATATATACTAAATCAAACCCAATAATATAATTATTCTGCAGATGTTTGCAGCATGATGCAGATTTGACACATCCACGGGCAGACCGACGTCGCACGGTCCCCCCCCGTCAACTCATTCTTAATCCTTTACGGACATTTGGTTTGCCCTACTACAGGAGCACATCCTTCTGGTAGGTCATATTTCTTTACCAGTGCTCTGGTTAGCCGTGATTTAGGTATGCTTTCATGTCTTTTTGGTAGTGCGGTTTATTTCTTACACAAGAAATTCCAATTGCTGAGGTGCATGTCAATGAATTGACGAATGGCCTTTCGGTACTTTAAAAAAAAATAAGAATCCATTTCACGGTAGAGGGAAGTTGGGACATTCAGGGCAGTGCACCGATATTCGCACAAAATAAAAAAAGAGAGAGAGAGAGAGAGCAAGAGGCAGGGAATGAAGATGGGAACAAAAGACCAAGGCCCCAAGATTACTCGAATGAAAGAATCTTGCAAACGATCTATATTGTGTCAAAGTTATAATACAAGTCTACACATTCCCCGCAGCAATTCCCCGTTTTCTAGTCTGCTCAATCGCCTCCGCCGCCTCTGTCATTGTCGCCGCGTCCCGCGGAATTGTGTGGCCCTTGCCATGATCAAACATGATGGCCGTATCGGGATCGCACATCCCATACAACGCCATAGTGCCATCTACGTAGGGGTCATTCGCCCCGATAATATGACATGTCGGGACCTCAATAATGTCCTCGCATTCATCTGCCACACAGCCTTTTACTCGATCACCCACTATTCGGAGGGGAGACCAGCCTGCGAGGAAGACCCCATACTAGAAGAAAGAAAAAACCAGCACATACATTAGCATGTGGCAATACCATGGGCCTCTCTCGGCGTAAATAGGTATATCGGAAAAGGGAACTACCGATATATCCATACACATACCTTAAGCTGTCTTTTCCTGCCCGTCTCCCGCACGAGTCGCTCCTCTTCGAGCAATAGGGTAGAACCGATTATAGCACCCTCTGAAAAGCCAAGAAGACCCTGTTGGCTCGCATAGTCCCGGTTAATGCTAATTGAAACTCACTTATGTCTGATAAGAAGGGAAAGGCCGGGGTTGGAGGGAGGGGTGCAAGGGCGGTTTCAAACGTACGTCAATTTCAGGATGTTCATCCAGTATCTTTAACAGCCTGTCCAACGCCTCCCTCACACAACGTGCCGACATCATTGCGTGTTCATTCATTAACACCCGCATGGTTTCTTCGGCTGTGGCTCCTCTCGGCAGCTGACGGATCCGCACCATAATATCATCGGACCGCTCAATGCCATCGTGTTCTAGAAACCGGTAATGAGGCGGCGGGCCGAAGTAACCCTGAGATTCTGGGGGCGCGTCGGAGCGATGTCCACCGTCTATGAAGTGAAAGGAAACATCGGGGTACAGGGATCGGTAGACGCTGGTCAGAGGTTCGAGCTGGACCTCGAAGCTTTTGGCGCTGCCGTAGCCGCCGTGCAGGCACAAGATAGTCATGCTTAAAGGCTACTTCTGATGTTTTCAAAAATTGACTTGACCTGAAATACAAATATAAGCCCCAGAGGGGTTGGTTGGTTCTGGATCAGATTGAGATCCGGTTAGATCGATGGATTGTAATGTAGAAGGGAGACTGAAAATGTCACCGTGGTGAGGTACTACTACAACCTATATATCATGATGCCGCTAGTACTAGGGCAATGCTATTTCGGGCAATCGGGGCTTGCGAAGATGCGATAGGTCTCAAAACTGACTCGGGATTCTCCTTATTGTTTCGGCTCGGCTCAATGATTTACTGTGGGTCAATACTAGGATCCACAGAAATAGGAGTTCGGGGTATCTTAAAGTAGAAAGATTCCGACTAAGAAGACACTATTTCTCCTCTGCGGAGTATGTTGAATGACTACGGTGTACATCTCGTATAGATGAAACTTAAATGGAATACTATCTATTCCGTGCATGCATTCGGCTTGGAATGATGGCCAAAACTTGGATTTATGCAGAGGTTAGTTTCTCGATCGATCCTTCCAGATAGATAGGTAATTATTCCGCCTGATTGGCATAGAACTGACCGCTTTTCTGCGATCCAGCATAGTCTGAACTTGTAGGCTAACCGAACATCCCGAACATCATGTCTCTCTACTCGCACGCTCTCGATCACAAGGAATTCAAGAATTCACTCACCACAAGAGAATTGAAACAAAAGCAAAAGGCAGGACCAGAAACCATACAAGGGGAAGCCCTATCAACTACTCCGTGCTGATCCCAGCAACTCGGTAAACTATACTTCACAAGCCTTCAATTCAAATCGAAACAACTAAGACAGTCAAAAAATCAGGTTCCGCTTCAACCGGTTTAGGTATTTGGCTGGCGCAGGGACCCATTGAAGCAGAAGCTCCCTGTCCACCTGCTTTCCCCACTTTTTTTCTTTTTTTGTTTTGTTTTGTTTTGCCCTTGGCTCATAGCACAGTAATCTTCGGCTCAGCCACCACCTTTCGGAATTAATGGTAGATATAGGAATCCAATAGGAACTAGATTCTCTGAGCGGTGGCTGCAGGTAGACCACGGCAAATCGTAGAAAGGTGACCAGGCTAAGTCAATTGCGGGTCTATCGATCGGCTCTTGAACTAGTCAGAATATGCATAACCAAGCTGTCGGATGTGGATACCCATTCTGGAGGAAAATACACCAGTTATTCTCTTAGAGTTTGTTTATTGTCGAGCTGCTAATAATTGATGGCTGATGGGCACGATCGCCTTCTTGACGGCTGATAGCAGAGTGCACATGCTCAACGTGGTCCAAACTTTGAAGAAGAGACAAGGAAAAGAAAATATAACAAACACAACAATCAGGCAGGATCCGTCAGGTGCGAAGGCTATCTTTCTCTGGAATGGTTGAATAGAATACTTAAATAGAGAGAAGTTCCTCTACGGTCAGGTCCTTCGAGCAACTCCTTCCTCAGACTCCTCGTTCCCTCTTGGTTACTTCTCAAGCCTAACACACCCGCTCCTGCCGCCATCATGACCCTCACAAACAATTCGCAGACACCAATTGCTGTCGTTGGAATGTCCTGTCGCCTTCCGGGCCAGGTCCGTACGATTGATGACTTCTGGACTCTCATATCTCGTGGTCGGGACGCATGGTGTCCATTCCCTTCAGACCGCATATCCAGTGCGGCCTACTACCACCCAGATCCCCAGCGAAAGGGTTGCTTCAATCAGAAGGGGGGTTACTTCCTTCAGGAGGACTTATCCCAGTTTGACGCTCCATTCTTCCACATCACTCAACAAGAAGCCATTGCCATGGGTAAAAAGGAACCCATGAGTAACCAACCTGAACAGTACAAGATGGCTGACAATACTCTTAGATCCAAATCAGCGACTACTCCTCGAGTGTGCTTATGAAGCCTTGGAGAACGCCGGTATCCCATACGAAGCCATATCAGGCTCGCGAATGGGCGTCTTCACGGGTCATTGTGCATCAGACTACCGCCGCAGTGCTTTTCGCGACCTCCACGCTCTTCCCATGTTCGACGCCACGGGGAATCAGGAATCTATTCAGGCCGGTCGTCTTTCACATTTTTTTAACCTCCGTGGCCCATGTATGACTGTCGATACGGCCTGTTCGTCCAGTCTCTATGCCCTTCACCTGGCCGTGCAGAGCATTCGTTCAGGGGAAGCGGACTCTGCTCTGGTCAGTGGAACCAGACTGCATGTTAATCCAGACGAGACGGTTTCAATGTCTATGATGGGGTAACAAACACTTCGTAAAGGTTCCCGTAAAACTAGACGCTAGATGCTAACGAAACCATGAAAAACTTCACAGTCTATACAACGAGCAAGGAAAGACCTTTGCATTTGATGATCGTGCCGTCTCGGGCTTTGCGTGCGGCGAGGGTTTGGGCTGTGTTGTCCTTAAGCCACTGGACCAGGCTCTGGAAGACAATGACCCGATATATTCGGTCATCAGGAGCACAGGTCTGAATCATGATGGTCGAACTGTCGGTGAGTTGCTACACCCTAGAAAAGCAATCTCACGTATTCTTTCCGAATAACCAGCTAAACATCGCTAGGTCTGACGAACCCCAGCGGGGAGGCCCAAGAGGAACTCATGCGAGAAGTGTACGCCCGCGCCAACCTCTCCCCTGAGGAGACAGGGTTCGTTGAGGCGCACGGTACTGGAACCAAGGTCGGTGATCCCATCGAAGTTGGCGCCATTCATCGGGTGTTCAAGGACGGCCGGACCAAGCGCGCACCGCTATATATCGGCTCCGCCAAGTCCAACTTTGGACATCTCGAACCTGCCAGCGGCATTGTGTCCCTGATCAAGGCCTCCCTGATGCTCCACCGTGGCTTCATTCTTCCCAATGCTAATTTTGAGCGCGCCAATCCTGCCATCCCTCTCGACCAATGGAATATCAGGGTACCGACCAGTCTACGTCCCTGGCCCCAGGGCAAGAAGTACATCAGTATCAACAACTTCAGCTTCGGTGGCTCTAACTGCCATGTCGTACTGGAAAGACCTCCCCGTCCGTGCGGTCAGCCTCCCGACACCTCAAACGATGCGCCCCGGCTCTTCGTACTGAGTGGCTATGACGACGAGGCCGCCAAACGCATTGCCACGAACCTCGTCTTCTACTTGGAACAACACCCGGGAGTCTTCGAACGGCGCCTGGTACACGACGTCGCGTACACTCTTGGCGAGAGGCGCTCTCACTTTCCCTGGCGTATTGCAGTCACTGCTTCGTCTACTGCCGAACTTGTGGAGATCTTGAATGGGCCCGCGAGTATCCCTCAGCGCGCCCGTCTGGGAGCTGGCTCTTCTTCTGCCATTGCTTTTGCCTACACTGGACAAGGCGCACAATGGCCCCGTATGGGCTTGGAACTGACTGGCACCCACCCTGTATTTGCAGCCAGCATGGAGGAAGCAGCACGTGCATTGGAGGGTCTAGGGGCAGACTTCTCCCTGTTTGAAGAGCTCAGGCGTGAGGCAGCTGAATCTCGCGTCAATCAACCCCAGATTTCCCAGGTTGTCTGCACCGCCGTGCAGATTGCTCTGACCGATCTTCTGGCTTCTTGGGGCATACAACCGAGGATGGTTGTTGGCCACTCCAGCGGAGAGATTGGAGCAGCTTATGCGGCTGGTGCTATTTCTGTGAGCGAGGCCATTGCCCTGGCGTATCATCGGGGACGACTCGCTGCCCAAGTTCGCGTCCGATTTTCAGATCTAAATGGCTGCATGATGGCCGTCGGAGAGAGTGCCGAGGAGGTGCACCGGACCATCAAGCAACTCCAACTGGAGAAGGACATCACTGTGGCTTGTGAAAATTCACCACGTTCTACCACGGTGTCTGGAGATGCCACTGCTATGGACCTTCTTGCGAAGGAGCTAGAAGCCCGGCAGACGTTTCATCGCAAGCTTCATGTCGACGTCGCTTATCACTCTCCCCACATGCAGCTGATCGCCGAGGACTATACCAGCGCTATTCAGCAGGTCGCCCCATCAACAATGAAGGAGAATGTCCAATTCTACTCCTCGCTGTTGGGTGAAAAGGTGGAGCAACCTGGGGTTCTGGGAGCATCATATTGGGTCGATAACCTGACGCACCCGGTCCGGTTCTCCACTGCGCTGGGCCAGCTGTGTGCCGAGTCCAAGCCCGATATCATTATTGAGATCGGGCCGCATTCCGCGTTGCAGGGACCGATCAAGCAGATTCTGCAGGGCATGCAGAACACGCACATTCAGTACTTCGCCTCCCTGGCCCGCAACGACCATGCCACCAAGGCCGCGCTCCAGCTTGCAGGCCGCTTGTTCTTGGCCGGCCAGCAGCTGAATTTCCGTGCTGTCAACCCAATTCACCAGGGTGGGTCAGTCCCGACGGTTTTGCCGTCTCTCACGCCATATCCCTGGTCTAATCGGTCTTACTGGCACGAGGGTCGCGTCGCCTTCAACCACCGAATGCCGCGCTTCCCCCGCCACGATCTGCTGGGACGAATGGAAGCGTCTACCCGTGAAGATGAGCAGCCCATCTGGCGCAATTCCCTGTCCCTGGACAGCGTACCATGGCTCCGCAGTCATCGTATGCAATCCATGACTACCTTCCCCATGGCTGGCTATGTAAGTATGGCCGTCGAGGCGGCATCCCAACGGGCTCAGCTCAGAGGTCTCTCCCAATCCCAGATTGCCGGGTACCGGCTCCGTGAGTTCCAGGCTTCCTCGGCGTTCACCATGGAGGAGAACGTCGAGTACGAGACCTGGTTCTCTCTGAGTTCGTTCACGGAGGGCACCCGCTCTTACTCCAGTGATTGGGACGAGTTTCGTATCGCCTCGTGGACCGCGACTCGCGGCTGGCGCGAGCATTGCCGTGGTCTCGTCGGCATCAGACGCCAGGAGTCGTCCACCAACCCGGTCAGCCAACGCCGGTCATTCCACGCTGCGCTTCAACGGCGCCACGAGGCGACTCAGGGAGATTACCGCCCTATGCCGCTGGAGGCTTTCTATGCTGACCTCGAAGAGCGCGGGGCCGGGTACAGTGATGTTTTCACTCTCCACCCCGAGAGTGGGCTGGCCGTACAAAAAGCAGGCGCAGGATGCAGCTATGCGCGTGGCAATGTTTCAGTGCCCAACACGGCTGAGGCTATGCCATCGGGGCATGAGACGCCGTCTATTGTGTCCCCCCCATTCTTGGATATGTGCTTTCAGCTGACGTTCCCCGTTCTTGGGGCGAAATATGGCCGCATTCCATGCCTTTACATGCCTATCTCCATCCAGGAAATGGAGATTGCCGCAAACTTCCCCGCCAAACCTGGAGCTATTGTGGAAGCCCATGCTCTTGGGTTTCCCGCGGATGCTTCTAATCTCGGGCCGACGGAGTTCACGGTTGATGCCTGGGACCCAAATGCATCAACCGAGCAGCCTGTGCTCACTATCCTCGGCCTTCGATCGACTCCTATGAACACTGATATCTCCATCGACGCCACCCCGCACCCTTGGTGCTACACCGTGCAGTGGGCGCCATTCTCCTCGGCTGGTGAACCAAATGGCGCAGAGGCGAATGGAAATGACCACACCAACAGGAATGGCCAAGCTAACGGTTCTGGCGAGGGGCATGGTAACGGGGTTGCACATGCCAACGGTAGCCATCACGCATCACTGGCAGACCAGACAACCACTGTCATCATCACAGAGAGGAACCGCTCAGACCCACTGATCTCCTCGCTTATGAAAACTATCGAGGCATTCACTGAGCATGAGGTCACTATTTCTCCCCTGTCAGGCGTACAGATGTCCTCAACGAATCGTTACATCTGCCTGTGTGAACTAGATACGCCAGTCCTGCAATCTCTTACCCCAGAATCTTTCAAGCAGGTTCAGAACCTCCTTCTCAACTGCTCCTATTGCCTCTGGATAACCTCCGGGGCATACCTCGCTGTGGATCAGCCCGAGCTGAACCTCAGCCAGGGTCTCCTGCGGTCTGTGCGTTCAGAAACTGGGAACGCTGTCGTCAGCCTGGACCTGGACCCCAGCTCTCGGCAAGACGTGGCAGGTCGGGCCCAACTCATTTTGGATGCTTTCAAGGCGTCGACTAGCACTCTACTGAAAGCGGCCAGTGATGAGGAAGCACCCCTATCGGACTACGAGTTTAGTGAAGTCAGCGGGCGCCTGATGGTCCCTCGTTTAGCCGAGCAATCCGAGCTGAACAGTGCCCTCTTCCGAGAGACACACCCCTCTCACTCGTATGCGCAGGACTTCGACCAGGGAACTGATCGTCGACTCAAGATCGCCGTCGGCACGTTGGGCGCCTTGGACTCTCTCTACTGGACCGATGATCCAGCCCAGCCACTCGGCGACAACGAAATCGAGATCAAAGTGGCCTGCACGGGCGCCAACTTCAAGGATGTGGTGATTGCCATGGGTCAAGTCGCAAGTCCTTACTTGGGTATCGAGTGTAGTGGTACAGTAGCTCGCGTTGGAGCCAAGGTAGACACACTCAAGCCTGGCGACCGCGTTGGCGCCATGTCCCAAGGTGCGTATAGCACGTACGCACGGTGCCCCGCAACCAGCGCCGCTGTCATTCCAGACTCCATGACCTTTGAGACGGCCGCTTCCATTCCCGTCACCTATAGCACGGCCTACTATGGACTGGTCGAGCTGGCTAAAATAGAAGCGGGCGAAAGCATTCTCATCCATGCCGCCGCCGGCGGCGTTGGTCAGGCCGCGATTCAGCTAGCCCAGCTGATCGGAGCCGAGATCTATGCCACGGTGGGTAGCGAGGAGAAGAAGCAGATGCTGGTCGATCGCTACTGCATCCCGGCGAGCCGCATCTTTTACAGTCGGAACACCGAGTTCGGTCCTTGTGTCCGGGATGCTACGGGCGGACGCGGCGTAGATGTGGTTTTGAATTCGCTGGCGGGCGATTTCCTTCGCGAAACCTGGAGCTGTCTGGCGCCTTTTGGTCGGTTCATTGAGATTGGAAAGCGGGATATTACATCGAACACCCGGCTGGAGATGAGCAGGTTTGAGTACAATTGCACATTCTCCTCTTTGGATTTGACGCTTGTTGCGGAACAGAAGGGCAAGGTCCTCAACCGGGTCTTCACCTCTATCATGAGGATGTTCGCGCAAGGGAGATTGAGTCCCGTACATCCGGTCACGACGGTCGGTATCACGGAGGTAGAATCGGTGCTACGAAAGCTACAGAGTGGCAAGACAACAGGCAAGGTCGTGGTGGACCATCGCATCAATGGGAAGGTCAAGGCCACGCATCCCACTCCATCCAATGACCTTCTGCCGTCTGAGGCTACGTACATCATTGTAGGTGGTACTGGAGGTATTGGGCAATCGATCACTCGCAGAATGGTGCAGCGCGGAGCCCGAGAGATCGTCCTGCTCTCCCGCAGTGGCACCGTCACGGAAGCTATCCAGAAACTCATCGACGAGTGCCAGACTGTGAATGCATCGATCCACGTTAAGCAATGCGATGTGTCCGAAATCTCGCAGGTCAAGGCGATGATTGCGGAACTGCAGAAAGACCTGCCCCCAGTCCGGGGTGTCATTCACGCAGCCATGGTTCTCAAGGTATGTACATCGCCTGAAACTAATAATTCTCTATCTCTTTCTAACAATGACCAGGACACTCTCTTCGAACAGATGACTTTCCCTGACTGGGACGCTGTTCTCCGTCCCAAGGTCGCAGCCGCTTGGAACCTCCACTATTCCCTTCTGCACCAGCCTCTGGACTTCTTCGTCATGCTTTCTTCCGTGTCCGGCATCATCGGCAATCGTGGTCAAGCCGCCTACGCAGCCGGAAACTGCTTTCTGGATGCATTGGCGCGCTACCGCCGCCAGAAGGGTCTCTCTGCCGTATCTATCGATCTTGCCGCGGTAGCCGACGTCGGCGTGCTCTCTAACGACGCAGAAAGAAGGGCAGAAGTGATGAAGAACCTGAAATCGAGTAATGCGTTACAAGAGGTAGAAGTGCTCACCTTGGTTGAATTGGCAATGCAGGGCCGCCTGACCGCCCTGAATGTGGAGCAGTGCATCACTGGTGTGCATTGGGCTCCCCCAACCCCAACCCCATACTATGCCTCCGATGCCCGCTTCACCCAGCTCGTCGAAGCTGCTAGACAACTCGAAGGCAACGACGCTGCCAACGGCTCAACCACGAAATCCCTCTCTATCGGGCAGCAGGTTCGCCGCGCAGCAAACCTCGAGGAAGCACTCGAGATTACGGCGATCGGTCTACGGGACAAACTGGGTGACATTCTCATGCTTCCCCGGGAAGTGTTGGAGGCGCATACGCAGTCGACTCCGATTGCGACGTTTGGATTGGATTCCTTGAATGCCATTGAGTTGAGAAACTGGATCGGAAAGGAGCTGATGGCCCATATGCAAGTCCTGGAGTTGTTGTCGGCGGGTGTGTTGGGCGATTTGGCGCTGTTGGTGTTGAAGAAGTCGACTTTGGAGGGGGCGTGGAAGGGAGAAATTAGCAACTAATGTGCTATTTGACACAACGGTGGGGATGCTCACCGTGGGTAGGTAGATTGGGATGATGGCATGGGGGGATATACCTCGGTGTGTGTTGAGTACCTGATGTAATTTTAAGAGTGTATTTGCTGCGAGTGATAATCTGGTATACCTTGAAACTTCTTGATTTTTGAAAGGACATGTAGTTGATGAAGAACTGACCACGATGACCACTATATTAATACTACCATTCCTTCAGTCACACTATCCGTGCTACTATTTAGTAGATACCAGTAGTATGCATTGTACTGGTGCGCGTTAACCTGGCGGGAATATTTAAATCTACTCCCATCAAAGTGTGATTGTCTCCGACTGCATACCCCATCCTCATCAGATAGTAGTATAAACAGTACTTAGCAGGAGACCACGCAGACATCATTTGATAACGTATTAGTATATCGTTCAGTTTGTTAATTTTTTCTTTTTCTTTTTCTTCTTTTTCTTTTGTGAATTTGCCGTCACCCACTTGTTGTAGGAGGGGATGGAATATCATGGATTGGCTCGAGTATGGAAATACTTCAAAGCATTACAATGTACCAGCATCATTGGTCTAGTGGTAGAATTCATCGTTGCCATCGATGAGGCCCGTGTTCGATTCACGGATGATGCATTAACTTTTTTCCGACTTCTTTTTTTCCCTCTCCTCTCACTCTTATCTTCGGTTGTGGGACGACGACTCTCTTTATAGTCGGTTCAGATATAAAAAGATAGAACATTCCAATAGACTGTTGCGATACTCCATGTAGCCATACATGGGCTGCTATCCTGATCCATACCCCATGTCTCTCCTAACTCGTGAGGCACGCAAGTTGTCATGCCACCATCTCATCCAGAATAGCAATTGCCTGATGACTTGCAGATGTAGCAATACCCCGTCTGGGGTTTCTGAAGAACTGCACGTCCGAGCCACCCCCGCAGGAGAGACTTGATGAGCTTTGATTGCGTGGTTTGCGAGACATTCTCCCCTGATCGCCGGAACCCGCCAATCGGCAAATTCCTTGCCCTCCGAATCCCCTGCGGTTAATACCATCCCCTCTCCTCCACCGGAGATTGTCCCTGGGGGAAAATGCGCTCTGATTCTCATTCAAATAGACGTGCAATGATCGCTCTACCTCCCTTCACCATGACGCACATCCATCATGTGGTATCTGCAGGTCCTCGCGCTGGCAGGCGTCCTCGGCGCGTCTGCCCTTGATGCCGACTCGATCTTGAGCAAATACTTTGGCAACGATGCGCCTTGGTATAGCGATCGGATCCCTCTCTTTGAGACCGACCTCACCGACATTCAAGATGTTTACTACTATCGCTGGAGCATCTTCCGGGCCCATCAGCGCGATCTTGGCTCCTACGGCTACATCACCACCGAGTTCCTCAACGACGTTAGCTGGCAGGAAGAACCGTATGCCCTGCTGATCGATGCCTCTAACTTCCATCTGCGCGAAGGCCGTTGGTGTCGCGACCGTCGCTTCACTAGCGACTACTCGTCCTTCCTCTTCGGCCCCAATGGGGCCCCCTACCAATTCTCCGAATGCATGGCCGACGGCGTCTGGCAGGCCTACCTAGTCAACGGTGTCGCCGATGATGCCACTCCCCTGCTCTCCTCCATGCAGACTGTCTACGCCGGCTGGAACTCCACCACCCTTGGCGTCGGCGGTTACGACACCTCCAAGGACCTTTACTGGATCCAGCCCCTGACCGACGCGACCGAATACACCATCTCCAGCATCGATGCCTCTGGCGGCGAAGACGGCTTCACAGGCGGATATGCCTTCCGACCCAGCATCAACAGCTACCAATACGCCAACGCCCTGGCTATCGCCCACATCGCCAATCTCACCGGCGACACTGCCGTTTGCGAGCAGTATACCCAACTGGCGAGCGCCCTCAAGACCCGCCTCCAGGACGACCTCTGGAACAGCACCTTCGAGCACTTCATCGACCGCTACGAGGAAGACAATGAATACGTTACCTATTGGGACTTCATTCGCGGCCGCGAACTTGTCGGCTACGTCCCCTGGACGCACGACCTTCCAGACGACAATACCACCTACGCCAACGCATGGACTCATATTCTCAATTCCTCACAGCTGGCGGGCGAGCATGGCCTCCGCACCAACGAGCCTAGCTACCAATACTACATGGTCCAGTACCGCTACGACGGCTCCAACCCGGAATGCCAATGGAACGGCCCCGCCTGGCCCTATCAAACCACGCAAGTCCTGACGGGCCTCGCCAACCTCCTCGACCACTACCCCAAAACCGCCGCAACAGGCGTCATTACCACCGCAGACTACACCAGCATCCTCCGCCAGTACGCTCAACTGCACTACAACCCCGCCCGCGGCGGAGTCCTTGACATCGAAGAAGACTACTACTCCGACACGGGTAGCCCTATCGTCGGCTTGCCCCGCTCCCCGCACTACTTCCACTCGGGCTTTGTTGACCTGATTCTCTCGGGCTACGTAGGCATCCGATCTCGCGCGGACAACGTCCTGGAAGTAAACCCTCAAGCGGACGCCTCGGCAGTGAGCTACTTTCGCGCCGAGCGCATCCTCTACCACGGTCACGATGTTGCCGTGCAATGGGACGCCACGGGCAGTCAGTACGGCACAGTAGGTCTCGTCGTCGAAGTCGACGGCGAAACAGTGGCCACCAGCAAGACCCTCACCCGTCTCACGGTTGAGTTAAGCTCCGCTTCTGCGCCGGAAGTCTCCCGTCCTATCGCCGTCTCGGTGCAACTCGCCGCTGATAGCGAGTATCCTCGGGGTAGTGTATCTGTGGCAGACGCCGACACAGACGACGTGCACGCGGCTATCGACGGACGGGTTTGGTTCTATTGGATCGAAGACGTAGCGAACGGATGGGATAGTCCCGTCGGCAATGGGACAGAAGTGTGGTACCAGGTGGAATTTGAGAATGCGACAAGCACAGCAAGTGCCGAGATTGCGTTCTTTGCGAATAGTACGCAGGGGTATGATGTGCCGGAGAGCTATCGGGTGGAAAGCACTGGCTCAACAGGGGAGTGGGAGGAAGTGAGTAATGCGAATTATAGCTCGGCGGTGGCGAATGGAATTACGACCGTTAGCTGGGATGAGGTGAAGACGGAGGCGTTGAGGTTGGTGTTTACGCCTAAGACGGGGGAGATGGTGCGGTTGGTGGAATGGAAGGTGTTTGGGTAGTGGCAGGGTGCGGGAGTTGTCTCTAGGGCGTGAGGGATTTTTTGCTTGTTTTACTAGGTCTTGATATAGGTATATTGATTGTGTCTATTATTTCCGAATAAAATGGGGCAGGGGCTAGATGATCGTTGGTAGATATGCTGCCACCTGGCTGCATTGTTATTCTTCTTCAAGAGGAAGGGGTAGTAATCGTATCCACCGTTGATTAATCTATATCCGAACCTCAACCAAGGATCAGAGATCCTGTCAGCTAATGGTTGATGAGAAATGCTGCGCAAGCATTATTACCAGGAGGGATAAACCTTCAACAGGTACCATTGTGCAAGTGGAAACTACACATCCTGCGAAACCTTTATTGGAAATTGTAGATAGGGAGGTCGGCTAGATAGTACTACTACTGACAACACAGATGCGTATCCTAACGTCCGTATGATCAGCGACTTAAGCAATGTACATCAAACCATGCACAAGATCATCATCACTAATCGTCGTCCCACCCTCTTCATCCACAAGCAAGTTCATGAGTAGCATAAAACAGCCCCTCGTTGCATATTACTTAATACGGTTAGTACCACCGCCCATACCAACCAATGACAATGACAACGGAGCATAACTCCCAATCGAGAATGCCGAAATCCGATTTACGTTCCAAAATTACCCAAAGCAGTAATATCCTCTTATTCAGACAACTTGGATTGTTCTTTCTCGCCCCACTCAACGGTTTCATTCTGATTCTTGTTTTCTCTTTGCTCGGGAATAACACAGTGCTCGGTTTGCCGTGTTTAGTGCTTGTGCCCGATGCCCGCTACATAGTGTATGTAGCGGATGATGTAGATGGTGGGTAAAACATACATGGATATGGTATGATGGAGTTGCACAATGCGGAACAGGTAATACTCTACGACGGCACTGTGGCGCTGGTTCAGACCATGCAGGGTACGTAATGCAATAATACCGAAGGAATATCAAAATACTACTAACAGAAACAGGATATCCCTCTTATCTAGATACTAGACTATCGCCGAGACGGATATCCCGCCGCCACAGCCGGACCGGAGACTTGGTTTGCTAAGCTTTCGGGGTGTGGATGGAGTCCGTGGTAAATGGATAGATTTGCCAAGGTTCTTGTTCTTGATAATGAGATGAGGATTGAGGTTCGGTATTCCATCTATGTCTATGGTAATGGATTGGTTGTTGGTGAATGAACGTAGTCGTTAGAGTTATAGTAGGTTCAGTTGATACTAGTAGATGATGCACGTAGCCCTGTCGGTACTTTCTAGAATTGATCGGCAGCGTCACTGCAGACTGCTCCACCGGCATAAGTCCGTCTAGTGTCACTGTTTGCCTGGATAATCGGCTCCTCCCCTGGCCACCATAATGTCCAAGGTCTGGTTTGAAATCGCGCACTGAAATGACACCTGGACATAAATACCTCGCAAACTCGCTCGATTTATGGTTCTATCCTCATCATCGCATTGTGTTCTGTTCGTTCTTCACTGCTCAAAATTGTTCTCATCGCATATAGACTTGCTATTTCCAAATTATACTTCATACCCTCTAATCCTATCTACTACGCCAATGGCCACCACTCCCGGACAACGCCTCCTCCCCGTGGTCGTCGACCACCTCGCTCAAGCCAACCCTGCTCAGCGCATCGGTCTCATCCCCACGGGTGCTGATGTCTCCGATGGCTATGATACTGTGACCGTCCAGCGTCTGGCCCGCGCGGTGGACGCCTTTGCTTGGTGGATCGAGAAGCAGATCGGACGCGCCCAGGAGCCAAAGACTATCGCTTACATGGCTAGCAATGATGTGCGATACTTGATCTTCCTCTTGGCCGCTCATAAGACGGGATACAAGGTATGTTCCACGTATTGTAGATTTACATTCATTTTCTAACGGAACAGCCCCTCCTCCCCTCTACACGTCTTTCCGACGACGCCTACCAGCACATCCTCAACGCTACCGACTGTCACGCCTTCTTCTACACACCTGAAAAGCAGCGCCGCGTGTCTGAAATTCAGGCATTCCGTCCTGATACTACCTTCCACGAAGTGCCCTCCATTGCAGAGCTCTTCAGCACCACTTCCCAGCCCTACCTTTACACCAGGACCTACCAGGAAGCCGAGGACGATGTCGCCATCATCATCCACAGCTCTGGCACAACAGGTACTTATCCCACAGCCTTAATTATTAGCACATCTAACCTAGATAGGCATGCCTAAACCCGTCCCCCTGACGCACGGCTTCCTCGCCACGATCGACTACGCCGCATACATCTCGCGTCCCCAATTTCGACAGTCTACGCTGTTCCACGACCTCCGGCCTGACACCCTCGTCCTCTCCACCACACCCTTCTTCCACCTGATGGGCCTACTTGCCTTCTTCGAATCTCTCTTCCACCACATTCCCTTCGTAATCCTCCCCGAAAAGCCTCTCTCTGCCGACCTCATCACCTCTGCTATCACCGCCACCAAGCCTGCGGCAGCTATGCTGCCTCCCTCCCTCCTCGAAGACATGTCCCATGTCCCGGCCGCCCGCACTGCCCTCAGCACCTTTGAATATGTCTATTTCGCCGGCGCTCCTCTTGCTCCAGAAGTCGGCGATAACCTGTCTCAACTCACCAAGATGATCACCGTCATCGGATCCAGCGAAATGGGTATCATCTCCTCGCTCGTCCCCCAGGGCAAGAATGTATGGGGCTACTTCGACTGGAACCCGGCCTATGGAGTGGACATGCAGCACGTCAGCGACGATATGTATGAGCTCGTAATTCCCCGCCGAGCAGACAGTCGCCGAATCCACGGCATCTTCCATACCTTCCCAGACCTCACCGAGTACCACTCCAACGACCTCTTCATCCGACACCCCGAGCATCCTCACCTGTGGAAATACCACGGCCGACTCGATGACGTGATCGTGCTCAGCAACGGCGAGAAGCTGAACCCCATCACACTGGAGAAGATCGTCGAGGGACACCCGCGCGTCCACCGTGCTCTCCTCATCGGCCAAGCCCGCTTCGACACAGCCCTCCTCATCGAGCCCAACTGGGCTCTCGAGGGCGAAACCATTGACGAAAAGGCCTTCATCGAAACCATCTGGCCCACCGTGGAGCGCGCCAACGAAGCCGTCCCCAAGTACGGCCGCATTGCTAAGAACAAGATCCGGCTTTCTGATCCCAAGAAGCCCTTCCAACTAACTCCCAAGGGTACCACGAAGCGCCACGCCGTGAACAACGACTACAAAGATGAGATCGAGGCTATCTACGCAGCAGCAGAGGAAGAAACCGCCGCTGTCGAGCTTCCCACTACCCTCAGCATCGACAACCTCCGCACCTTCGTCCGCTCTCTCATCGCCAACCTCCTCGACCGCGCCGACCTCCGCGACGATGAGGACCTCTATGCCGCTGGTCTGGACTCGCTGCAAACCATCCAGCTCGCCAAAACCCTCAACAAGGCGGTCGTCGCCGCCGGCTATCCCGCTGGTCAGGAAATCTCCCAGCAGCAGATCTACGGAAACCCTTCTATCACCCAGCTCGCTGTCTACCTGCACGACCTAGTGACTGGAAACCTGCGTACAACGACCATCTCCCGCGCCGACCGCCTCGCCGCCACCATCGAGAAATACACCCCCCAGCTCCCGCGCCGCACTACCCCTGTCGTCCCTGCCCCGGCCAACTCCACCGTGATCCTCACCGGCTCGACCGGCTCGCTTGGAACCTACCTCCTTCATAGCCTGCTGACCGATTCCAACGTCGCAAAGGTATACTGCTTCAACCGATCCGACGCGGCCGACCGCCAGCAGCGCAGCTTCGCCGACAAGGGTCTGGACACTGCGCTGCTCAACCCCAGCCGGGTGGAGTTCCTTACTGTCTCATTCGGCGCACCACGCTTCGGTCTTAGCGAGAGCAAGTACGCAGACCTCCTGGAGAATGTGGACTTTATTATTCACAACGCGTGGAAGGTTAACTTCAATCACCCGCTCGAGTCGTTCGAGGATCCGCATATCAAGGGCGTGGTGGAGTTCATTTCCTTTAGTGTGAGGAGCAGGCACAACGCGCACTTGTCGTTCGTGTCCAGTGTGAGTACCATCGGCGGATGGACGGAGAAGTTGGGCCCCGTGGTGCCAGAGAAGCCGGTGGAAAGTGTTGATGCAGTGCTGGTGCAGGGGTACGGCGAGTCGAAGTTCGTCGGAGAGAGGTTGTGTCTGGCTGCATCTGATGGGGCGGGTGTTCCGACGACGGTGTTTAGGGTTGGGCAGATTGCCGGGCCGACGAGTGTGAAGGGGATGTGGAATTTGGATGAGTGGGTGCCGACATTGGTGAAGACGAGTAAGTCTGTTGGGAAGGTGCCGGCGAATTTGGGTGGGTATGAGGTTGATTGGGTGCCTGTTGTAAGTGAATCCCCTCTTTTTTGTTCTGGCCTAAAGGTGTGGGCGGGAATGAAGGCTAATATGGATGGTATTGCTAGGATACCCTCTCGACCATCACTACTGAACTCATGCACACCCGTCGTCAAAACCAGTCTGCCACTCCGCACGCCGTTTACCACCTCGTCAACCCCTGCAAGACACTGTGGGCGACCCTCGTCCCCGCCATCCAGACCAAGTACCCCGGTATGCAGGCGGTGCCGCTGGACCAGTGGCTGGACGAGCTGGAGGCGATCAAGTCGCCGTCGGAGACTGAGGTGCGCGAGAAACCCGCGCTGAAGCTGCTTGACTTTTACCGCGGACTCGCGGGCGAGATGCTCTCGGCGAGTATTAGTGTGGAGCAGACGCGCGGGGGTAGCAAGACCATGGAGGGATTGGGTGCAGTAACGGGGGATCTGATGGGCAACTGGTTGAGGCAGTGGGATTTTTGATTTGATCCCTTGCCGGGGGTGCAATGTGCCAGAGTGAGTGGCTGGCTGTAAGGATTGATTTGTTTCACACGGTTTGGGTTTGCGTTTGTTAGCGATAAATAGAAATTGCGATTTGAATTCGATAGACATGCATAACATTCCTAATGCTTGTTTGAGGATCGTGGTGATCTATTCCCCCTTTGGGGTGGGATGCAGGTACCCCTGGCGTGGGTTGTCTTGCTTTGATAGCTAGCAACTGTAGTCGGTGGAATGAGGGTATTTATACCTATTACTGTATATCCCCGGAGCCACGTTCGCTTCGTTATTTCTTCCTTTCATCACACCATTCTTGGATTCCTCTACTACGTACATACATACTCCACATCACAACCACAAAAGTAACCACCATCCCTCCCTAAGATTCACCCTATATACCCAACTGACCACTTCCCAACAGACACCCAAGAACAAGAAAACAATAGAAGCAACATGCATCTCTCCACCCTCCTCCTTCCCCTCCTCCCCACCGCCGCCCTCTCCGCAATCTGCTACCCCGAGACCGGCGGCTCGAACTGCGCCTCCCTAATCAGCATCAAGGAATTCTACTCCCTGCAATACTGCCAGTACCGGTGGAACGTGCTCTACGGCGACTGGGACCACTTCGTCAACAACATGACCAGCCCGACGAAGGTGCACGCCAGCGTCGGCAAGACTGGTGTGTTTGATAGCTTCGAGGACTGTCTGAATGGGTTTGAGGACGTCGTGGAAACATGTCATGGGGTTAGTCAGGGAGGTGTCATGACAAATGGGAACGTTAGCCTAAATGTGCACTTTTGTGATTGGTAAATCCCCTCTCCATCCCTGGCGGGGGAGGGGGTTGTGTCATGATTATGAGTGATGTATGGGTTGGATAGATAGATGGTTAAATGATGATATGTTATATTCATACTATATATATACACCACACACACATTCAGTTCACCACGTAGAGCCGGTGAAAGAGAACGCGGGAGGGGAGGGCGAGGGGGGAGACAGTTTAATCATCGTTGAAATCATAAAAACTGTTTCCGTTCCACCCATCCACGAAACTGTAATCCGCCAACGGCGTAGTTCCGTGCAGCGTCTCATAGTGTTTTCTACCCTTGCAAGTCGTATTCGCCTTGCAAGTGCCGTTCAGGATACTGTTAATGTGCAGTCCCGCAGCCTGGCCCTCGAACCACGCTCCATGCAAGAACCCAAAGTAGGTCGGACTGGTCGCCTCACCGGCGAACCACAATCTGCCCGCATTGGCACGCAGGTTCTCATGCATCTCCAACGTCGTGCTGGGCGGCCAGTTCGAGTAACTGCCGTAGGCCCAGGGCTCCAGGGTCCACCGGGGGTACATGAACGCAATGGGGTCGGGAATGTTCTTCTCCGGGAACATCTTGCGCAAGACTTCCATGACCTCCGCCTTGGTCTTCTCGTCGGACTGGCGCTCGGCGCGCCAGGCGAACTGCTCCGTCACGGTGACGAAGATGATGTTCGAGCCCGGGAAGAAGCCCTCTGTGCTGAGGGACTGGAAGACGGGGTAGTAGCCGCGCATGTAGGGGTCCGCGTAGAGGAAGTACTGGGTGTCTTCGGGCCAGAAGGTCTCGTTAAATTGAAGGAAGATCTTGGTGTAGGTAGCCATTGTGAAGCCTTCGATGGATTCCTTCTTCCATTCGGGCAGGGATGGGGTGAAGGTGACGGCGTTGTTTTGCAGCACGCCCAGACTGAAGGTGCAGATGGCGTAGGAGGCGCGCACGCAGGAGCCGTCGGCGCTGTGGACGGTCACTCCGGAGTCGGAGTAGCTGATGTTGGTGATGTGGTTGTTGAGGAGCAGGCGGGTGTCGTTGGGCTTGAGGAAGGTCGATGCCATGCCGTGGATGATGTGGCTGTAGCCGCGCTGGTCGATGACGAAGTTGTCTTCGTCGCTGAAGCCGTTCACGGTGAGGTTCTGGCCAGCGACACCGAAGATGAAGGAACTTTCGAGGGGCGTGTATGCGTCTTCGAAATCTGGTTGGGTTCGTGTGTGTTAGTGGTGTACGTGTGTTTGGAGATGGTTTGCGACGCACCCCATGACCACCAGTCAACGGCTTGCGCTTCCATGTCGTCGACCTTGGGGCGCCAGCCAGCCAGGGCCAGGCCAGTTTTGGCGGTCTGGTCCTGCAGGTTGTCGAGGAGCATGACACCGGCTTGGGCGGCGGCGGCATCGTAGATGTCGTCCCAGATGTCAATCAGCTGGGAGTAGTCCTTGTAGCCGTACTGGTTGTAGGTCGACACGTTGCTGTAGTTGGAGTAGATGGTGGAGAGGTTGTAGACTTGGGCCTTTTGAGGGTTAGAGTAGTGGTGTGGTGGTGAAGGCTGGAGACTTACCAGTGTCCAGACGGGGTTCTGCGGACCCCCAGGAGTGCCGAGTCCTTGGACCTGTGACTGTTAGCAGTGCAGAATGCCGACTTCATTGAATGACATACCCAGTTGCAACCCATCTCAATGATGTACGGGTTACCATCTTTGTCCTGGCCGAAGGGCTTATGCCAGGCGCGACCGCCAATGGTGTCGCGGTATTCGAGGATCATGAAGTCTTCCATGGAGGCATTGTGCAGCGTTTGCTGGTAACATGTGAGCATGTGGGATCCCTTCTAGAAGCGACAAAGGGATGGACATACAGCAGCAGCAATACCAGCCATTCCTCCACCACTGTTGAGGTTAGCTTTGATCGCACTTCAGGCCCGATGGTAGTCATACAGAATAGCAACCGTGGTCTGCTTGCATTGTCCCTCATCGCGCGCATGGGGAACAGCCGCGCTAGGTAGCGCCAGCGCTCCAAGAAGAGCCAACAACGAGAGCTGCATGGTGAGTGCCTCTCAATTCCTACCGTGCCTGCTAGCTAGCTAGCAAGCAAGCAAAAGCGAGAGACATGAATAAATAGTACAGGGAAATGGGCTGCCGAGGTCGGACGTGACGGATAAGAAAGGCACCGATGGGGCAAGTCCATGCGGGTCAAATTGTTATCTCAGCTGGTCTCCGCACGAAGGAGCAATTCCGCAAGTTTCTACATTTTAATCTATTAGCTGCAACTATAATGGTAGCTAATGGTAGCTAGTTGGGGAGATTGTTGTCCATTGGCCCAACCTCCGCTTCAGCCGTCGGCGATAAGCAAACACGGCGGTGGGACCAATCCCGGCGGGTCGGCGATCGTAGCTACGGGCAGTCACCGATCCCTGTAATTGTCTTCAGCTGAAAGAGCTAATGCCTAGTGAGGTGTACTAGCTGCAGTAACCAGGTACCATGGTGGCGAAAATCCGAGGTGTAAATCCCGAATGGCACAGACGTGGCAAGAAAGTGGAAGTGTCGAAAAGACATGTTAACTGCAGACCAGGATGGTCTTAACCTCGAACACGAAAGATGATCCGATCCCGATCAGGCAGTAAGCAAGGAAGTGGAAGGAAGTGGAGTAAAGTGAGGCGGATATGAGGGGTAGATGGAACTAATTGTGATCAGCAGAGCAGAAGAAAACAAAAAGAAAAAAACGTAGTGCATCATCCGTGAATCGAACACGGGCCTCATCGATGGCAACGATGAATTCTACCACTAGACCAATGATGCTGTTGCTAACCAGTAGACTATCTGATTCGCTGATGGATTTTATCTTCCTATTTAACACTATAAGCTACTATCACGCACAGCAATCTTTTACTGCGCGGATTTCAGCACATGACAGGATATCCAACCTATTTTTACGTACTATTTTGATTATCTCACACTCGTTTTAAGCATGTCAAGCGGATCGGCTAAGTAATGCAAAATTTAGACTTACTGGCTATCTGGAAGTTATTACGCATTTTACCACATCGTTGGTTCATATGCCACCCAGTGTCGGCTATATATATAGTTAGATTTGATACGCCGCAGTTCCTCGCAGACCTTAATGAAAGTAAAGTAATTGAACTTAGAACCCTCAAACCAAACCATACTAGTTCGAGGATAATAGTACCGTGACACTACCGGTCCCCATAGTATAAACTCGTTCATGATCCCACTAGGTGCAGTGTTCCATTCTGTGTGAGGTCCCCCTCCACATTATTGCCTACTATGGCTCGGTGTGTCAAACAAGAGGACTCTGAAGCAGTCATCTTTCGCATTTCTTGGATTGCTTTGATACTTCGTGATGTGAGTTGATTATGCCGGCATACTGCAACCAAATGGACAACACCAGGAGAAATTACCTGCTTCTGCACCACCATCTGCCCCTCACAAAACTCCAAACATGACATCCATCAATACGAAAGTCGATATCAGTTGGCCACACTTCTGGTAAAGCGAAATGACCTACAATATCATCGCAGGCGACTGGCATGTTCGCAAAGAAAAGGGTACTATCAGTTCACAAGCTCAATATCTGGGGAGCAGTTGACCCAACGCAAGGAATCTGTACTACCTCGAGAAGTCCACCACCTAGACAGAGTCCATCGGCAAGACTGAAAGAAAAGAAGGCGAGAAAGCTTCTATCGAGCTAGATGATAACACCTTTTGTTGGCACTGCTTCGGTAAATGTTCAAGACTCTCCAACTCAGCTGCACATGCTTCTGCTGCGCCTCGAGTTAGAAAGCACAATAACCATCTTCGGGTTGATGATTTGCCAGACAACCAACCAATTCATTCTGCTTCTTATTCCTACGCCCCAGCACTTTGTGAAAAATCGTCATCGAGCACTGCTGTAACTGTTTGCCTGGTGCAACGTGATTCTGGTCGCACTGACAGAGCTGGGCCCGAATAGAAAAAGCATGTCCTGTGGCTGATATAGGCTGTGGCTCCCGAGCCTCGCTCTCATATTCCTTTCCTTTCCATGACGACCATTCCGATCTTTTGTCCTTCTTATTTGTCTTTTTCTTTACTTTTCTTTTTCTTCTTTTCTTCTTTCACGTTCATGCCAACGTCAGAGCTGGGAACCTACAAGCTCCATCTGACCGTGACAAACCATACCTTCACAATCAGCGACACCTTTGCATTGTGTGGCATATGCATCCCGCGTAGCTGCATTGGTGGGTTGCGTGATATGTTCAGTGGGAACGTCATCCCAGCGGGATCATCGACCTTCTGTACATTCTCATACTAAGTTCTCCGTCTCATGTGGTGGATATTATAGTTGAGTTCAATTGTCATCAATTCAAATCGGTCGAACTTAACGTCGGCGTTGAGTAGATTGTCGAGTAGATTGTAGAGGCAGAAGATAATAGATATAGGGAGGCCTTGGTTTACTCGCATGTTCGGGTCATGCATACCTCTTCCCTCTCGAGTGTGCTGAGGGTGGCTCTGACACGAGGCCAACGACAATAGCGTAGACAAGACCTAGTCAGACTTTCAGATATTGATAAATACCACATCGGATCGAAACGGCAAGTGTAAAGAACCTTGTAATAGACATCTAGGAATGTATGGGTAGTTGAGCCACTGTCCATAGATAGTATATTGGATGTCGAGGAGTAACAGAATGTTGATGAAACCCCCATAGATTGGATGAGGCCGAATGGAAGAAACGAGATAAGTTGTTCGCTTCTCCTCCACAGCATCCGGTGCGCTCTGAGATCGTTATATGTGGGACACTCGAAAAAATACTGACAGTGGAAGTTGGATGTGACCCAATGGTAATGAGAGTGAACAAGCAGCAAACTAATAACTTCATGACTCAAACTGTTGTTAAATAGCAAACTTTGGGCGCCTTATTTGAGGTAGGTAAGTGAGAAGGACCTGATAAAATGACCTTCAAGAGAGATCCCACGTGCGATTCAGGGGATGAAGAATGGGTAGGTCCTGCTACCTACGCTTACTTTTGCGCCCCATCCACATCACGTTATCAGCCTCCATCTTTCTGATTTATCACATCGGAAGTTCGCGGTATGTGTCAAACTATGTGAGCTTCTAGCAGTTCAGGAGCAGTTGACTGGACAAGCAAGACATCTGGGGGCTACGCAGACCCGTGATGTGGTCCGGGAGGGTAGGTAAGACACCAATCTTAATATAGAAGCAGTATGCTCGCTAGCAGGTGATGTGCGAATCCTTATGTACTTTTTGCTACTAATCAGTCATGGCTATCTGGTACAAACGCCGGTAGCATCAGTGGAGATAGAGATCAACATCTTTGTTTCTATTCGTGACAGTGGTTCCAGGAACGTCCCGATTCCCGAGAACATCCAGCATAAAGTTAACCCTCAAATTCGGACTGGAAATTCTAGAATGGCCTTGAGTCGAGCCTTAAACTCAATATGACACATGGTCACAAGGCACGCAGATATACGTTGGCAAGATAAACATACGCATTTGCCACGACGGGATCCGCAGTTCCATGGCTTCGGGCTCGTTTACTGGCTGAGACTCGGTGCGGGCCTAAAGACAGTAGCGGAGGCTGGGACCGAACCATCTGACTGATCTTCCGGAGCCGATCCTATTGGCTTTTGTTCAATGTTCATATCTTTCTTTCCATCCCACTGATTTTGTGACGATAACCCTCGAATCTCGGCTCGCTCCCGCGCTTCAGCAACGGCTTAAGATAATGCCACTGAGGTTTAGACAAAATGAATCTGCTGGAGAAGCTGATACTATTCTTCAAAACAGACGATACTAATTCTCTAAAATTGCTCCTTTCATCGTTGCTGCATTGGGTTGAGTCTTGATAGGCGTCATGCGCATCCACAGTCCACGACAGCACTTTTCCCGTTCGGGCCAAGTGCCTGTTGCCGGGTAAGTGTTCAGGAACCGTCTTCTGGGCGGACGCGCAAGCCATCTCTTCGCCTCTCATCAAGCTTTGTGGCCGACGCATGGCCCCATCCCTCGTGGACTTGCTGTCGTTTCAGAGCCAACCGCTTGCCAACACGCCGTCATCCCAAGACAGCCGCTCCACTCCCTCCTCCAATGAGATGTACCAAGAACACTGCCCAGGCTATGCATCCTTGGCCACACGCAGTGGAAGCGCTCTTGCGCCCAGCAAGAGGGAGAATTTATAGCCAACCTCAGTATTTGCTGCTGCCTTAGCTAGCCTGCCCCTGAGTATTCGTGTCAACCATGGTCATGATTCAGTACCCTATATACAGTCTGTAATCCCATTTCCACCTTCTTACACTCGTTGCCAGCCTCCGTTGCAGCTTTCTTTCGTTTCAAATACTCCAGTCACTCCCTCAGACCGTTTATTCGTTGATTATTATCATGAAGTCATATATGTCATGGGCATTGACTGCCCTCGCTGCCATAGTGCCTCTCAGTGCAGCTCAGACATACTCGAGTTGCAACCCCACGAACAGTATGTATCCGACAACTTTATCGGAGAGTATTATGATTGACTCACCCTATCAGAAACCTGCCCGCCTGACAAGGGTCTCAACCAGTGGTCCCTGACCACCAAATTCACCGAGGGTTCGTCTTGGCGCGATCGATGGAATGTCACCGCCGATAGCGTGAACAGCACCTCCAAAGGTGCTGAATTCGTGATCAGTCAGCAGGGAGATGCCCCTACTATCGAGTCCAACTTCTACATCTTCTTCGGCTATGTGGAGGTCAAGTTCCGCGCTGCCAACGGCACCGGTATCGTCAGCACCAGTGTGATGGAGTCCAACGACCTGGATGAGATTGACTGGGTACGGCCCTATCAAACTTCAACGCTACCAATGCTAACCCTACCCAGGAGCAAGTCAGTACATGGGACTCAGAAATCCAAACGAACTACTTCGGCAAAGGCAACACCACGTCCTACGACCGTGCCACCACTGTGAACGTCACTACCCCCGAAGAGACCTACCACACCTATGGAGTCAACTGGACATCCAGCAAGACCGAATGGATCCTCGATGGTACTGTCGTCCGTACACTCGAGTATGCGGACGCTGTTGATGGCAAGAACTACCCCCAGACCCCCATGACTGTCCGTGTTGGTATTTGGGCTGGCGGTGACCCCGATAACTCCGAGGGAACCATCGAATGGGCCGGTGGTGAGACCGACTACGACGACGGCCCGTTCATCATGTATCTGGAGTCGGTCAGCATCATTAACTACACCCCCGCCGAGTACTACAATTATACGGACAAGACTGGCGACTACACAAGTATCAATGCCTACAACACCACCACATCATCCAAGTCGACCAACTCGTCCAGTAGCTCGGGATCGAGCTCGTCGTCCTCGAGCTCTGGCTCTTCCAGCTCCAGCTCCGCCTCTGTATCCAGCAGTGATGCTAGCGGTCTCTCCTACAGCGGGTTCTTGATAACGATCCTTGGGCTGGGCGCATTCGCGGGGCTGCTTCTTTAGATGACATACCAATGGCTGTGCCATATTAATTCATCGCAACTGTATAAACTAGCCTACTTTGTAGTACAATCAATGCAGGAGTTCTGCATGGAGTCAGCGGAAATGTTTATACCATCTTCTTGATTTCTCATTCGTAGGATAAGAGCCAGTCGCTGGCGCATGCGTCCGTCAGAAGTTCATGTGAAACACCGGGCGCTGGTTGGGGCCGGCGGCAAATGCTTAATTGGGGGCGCATGAGCCAGGGATACGGCTCGGAGATAACGGTAGCGTGTAGAAAATTAGTTGAATGATGTCAGATTGTCCAGTATCGGGTACACATTGGACCAAAGTCACGGAAATACTTATCAATCCATGTCTAGTTCTTTATACTCTGGGTCTGGTGGGCGTGCATACCAGGGTTACCACCGCTTCTAGGCTACGGATATTGCTATAATTCAATGCTATACTACCTCCACTCCTGACCGCTTGAAGTACAGACGCGGGGCATAGCAAGTATACTCATTCCAACTCGGATTTCGTCACCTGCAGAAACCCGAAAGATAGCATTCCTCCAGTTGAACAACGACGGTACGTGGTGATACTCTTAAGTACGGAGTACCATAACCTTCTCTTGGGCGTTCCTTGATGAGCTTACCCTCTGGTATCATTGCTTGGCTGCTTTCTGCTCTTTTGTTTGTCATACAAGATATATCGGCGACCTTTGCTCCAAATTGACTCCCACTTTAACAATTGAGCTGCATCTGCAGTCAGTGTAACTACTAAAGCATCATAGCAAGTTTAGGATTATATTTAAGCTTTCTGCTAAGCCTGCTTGAAGTATGTTCAAGAATGGATCGACAAATTCTTTCCTTGGTTTTGTCGATGGAAGCCAGAAGAATGATCACCTTGATTACAGGGAAGGAGATTGTTTCCGTCTCCTATCGATTCCCGTGACTTGGTCTTCCTCTCTGTCACTTGAACAGAGAAGACCTAGACAACAACAATGCCAATTCTACGATTGATCAGGACTACAATCCGGTTTATGGTAGCGCCCCAGAATTCGACATGCAAGGGACGGGTAGGCAAAGGGGAAATGTCTGCGTCCCCGGGTTTCTTGATGTCTGGCATGCAGGGGTGGGATATGACAACAACCAATCCACTCTCATGGTACAATGACTGCTTGAATGAGTAAAAGGCTGCCCTAACATCCAAAGGGAGAAGCCCAAGAATTCGGATACTACCTCCATAGGCACTTAGTAGTGTTCTTCTCATTACTGAAGCCAATGTAACCAGCGCTGGCATTCCTGAATGGTCGTCCACACACCTACCAGTCTATATTTTCAACAAACCAGAAAATGCAAGTATATAGACTAACCACGACCACAGGGTCCCCAACTCCTGCAGAAACTCATCTACGCACTATATTGATAACCTTGTTTACTATTATCTACTAGCGCCATGCGTCTAACATCTCTGCTCTCCCTCATCCCCGCCGTCGCAGCTAGCTGCTACCACAACACCCCTCTTGCTCGACGTGCATCCGTCCCCAGCTATGGGTACACTGCTACGCGAGGCCCATTGAACTGGTACGGTCTTGACCCAAGCGCCAACGTTGCTTGCGCAACAGGGACACACCAGTCGCCTATCGTCATCGGAAGCTCCGAGATTTCAAAGGTCAACAATAGCACCGTCACTCTCTATATCCCTACGGTGTCTGACCTTGAATTCGAGAACCTCGGCACCACCATCGAAGTGCCTTTGACGAATGGCACCCTCGTTGTAGGAAATCATACCTACACCCTGGCGCAGTTTCATTTCCACACGCCCTCTGAGCACCGGATTGATGAGGAGTATTTCCCCATGGAAGCCCACTTTGTGTTCTCGGACGAAGGTATGAGGATAAACCTCTCCTGTGCTTACTTTCCTTCATACTGACAAAGAATCCTAAACACAGATGGAAGCATCGCCGTAGTGGGCTTTCTCATCGATCTCACCTCCACCAAGGATCATAGCACACCCTTGCTAAACACCGTCTTCGCCGACGTCAATGAAATCGCCGAGCTGGGAAGTACCACCGAGCTTGGACTGCTGGATTTCAGTAGTGTTACGAGACATTTCATGAACAACGATATTTATACATACTCTGGGTCCCTGACTACTCCACCTTGCACTGAAGGCGTGTCGTGGTATGTCAGTGGCTTGCCGTTGGTGTTGGATGTGGATACGTATAATCAGGTGAAGAAGGTGTTGAGGTTCAATTCGCGCTACACTCAGAACGTGTTGGGACAGGAAGATCTGTTGCAGCTTGCGGCGGACGAACTGAATGGTGTTGTCGTTTAAGGTTTTGATGGGAGTTGTCTAGATTAGGGTTCGGTTGGTGTTGAAATTATGCGGAGCTCGGGGATGTCAATCCAAGGGCGTGAGAGTTTGGGTTTAATTTAAACATGACCACAAGGATGACATCAATCTTATAGTTAGCTTAGTCTATGAGGCTACTGAAGGGTGCGTCTGACACTCGTAACTGCAAGCTCAATGCTCGTCCCGCTGTCAGCTGATACGTTGATTATCTGCATCTCGCACCGTAGAATTTACTAGTGCTGACGCCGTCCCGTAAATCGTGCCGGCGATGCCCGAATTACCTACCAAGAAAGCAATTACGAGCGCAAGCAGAGGAGTCATAAGAAGCCCTCAGAGACAAAGAGTATCCACCTACATATCTACTTCTTTTGCTGACGACATACTGCGTATCCAGGTCAGCAGAATTCGACTATAAATAACCTTAACGCTACCCAGCAACAAGAAACTCACTTTCATCCACCTACAACCACGAAAACCACGATCAACATACCGTGACAGAATGAGCGCGAATCGCGGTGCTAAAATCGTTCTTAACTGGTACATCTCTTCCCACCCCTTAATACCTCCACAACTAACATAATAACAGGCTCGAGCGCTCCCGCGCCCAGCGCATCGCATGGGTAATGGAGGAGCTGCATCTCGAATACTCCATCCAACCTTTCAAGCGCAACCCGACAGGTACTGCGCCCGCAGAATTGAAGAAGATTCACCCCCTTGGCAAATCGCCCACAGTATCCATCCAGCCGCCCTCTCCGACCTCCAAACCTATCATCTTGGCCGAGACGAGCCCGATCATGAGCTACTTGGTTGAGCATTTTGCCGATGAAGCCACAAGCACCAAGCTCATTCCCAGGAAGTATGAGCCCGGAAAGGAGAAAGAGCTAGGCGGTGAAACGGAGGCATGGATGCGACATGAGTTCTACGACAGCTATGTGGAGGGGAGCTTGATGAGTGTTTTGCAGATAAAATTGGTTTTCGATGGTGAGCTATTTCCCACATCGTACGTTGCCTAATACCAAAGGTATACTAATGAAATATAGCGCTGCAAAACGCACCTATTCCATTCTTTCTAAAGCCCATAACGAACTTCATCGCATCAAAAGTCAATTCTGAGTTCCTGGACAATGAATTCAAAACTCATTTCGGGTTCCTGGAAGAGCAGCTTGCTACAGCGCCTGATGGGGGCCCGTACATGTGTGGAAAATATCTCACGCTTGCGGATATCCAGTTGAGTGTGCCGGTGTCTGTGGGGTTTGCATTGGGGATTATAACGAGGAGTGAATATCCGCTGTTGCATGGGTATGTGGAGAGGTTAAGGGGTGAACGGGGATATAAGAGGGTGGTGGAGAGGGCGAGTGAAGTCGGGGAAGGCGCTATGTTGGAGTAATTTGAGAGATTATGATGTCCAAGGCTTGCCGATTGTATGTTGCTTTTAGGATGGTGTTGCGGAGTTCTATCTGGGCGGGTTTAGGTAGGTTGTACTAATTTGAGGGTATCTCTTCTCTACTTCTTCGCAGCTTATACTTCAAGTATCAGTTCATGGCAAGATCTCATCAGTTCCTCCGCATTTCTATTCTATTAATTTACGACCAGATAGTTTTTAGCTCATTGTCTTGGGTTCTAGGCAGTAAATGTCGCTCTTCATTCTATTCTCGCCACCTCTAATCCCAAAGCAAGGATGTAGCAGAACACACCCTTGGAGTCAGTTCAGCAGACACAACGGGTTTGAATTTCCTGTGTATGTGGCTTCGTCATGTTTTACACATCGTGCTATCATGGGCGTATGGTTTCTCATTTTGACCTGCTAGCATCAAAATTCTGAACTTTAACAACCCCGTGATAAGAATGTGACGGAAATATTCGTTTTGTATGTTGCCTTAAGCGATGAGCAATTATGGCTGAATACGACTACCAGAGAAAAGCCGCCTCCGAAGTGAGACAGCTCTCCGGTATTTGACAACTCGGCGAAGTCAGACTGGGGCGGTGCAGGCTTTCTTCTTCACGGTCTTTTAGTCAAAATGGAATGATAATAAGTGACTCGTGAAGCAACCTCTATCTTGTACGGGCGCTCAATTGATAAAAGATGAATTTGGTGGTAAGCGATCGCACACGATGTCGTGCGACGGATCTGCTGCAGGGCTTAGCAGCAAGGGCGACTCTCAAGAAAACTAGCGTGAGACACGGGACACAGTACAAGGTGCATTCATTCTGCGGGAAATGTCTGACTTTCCTCAAGTCTAACTTTTTCATCAGTCGCGAATTTCATCGCCGGGTCTCGTATTTTCCCGTGGGCGTAGTATCGGCTCTAAGTCTTCTGAATCTAGATATACGATTCACCTGGAGAACCGAAAATCACCTAACTAGGATGTAGAAAGTTTCCTGCATAGCGAGGAAGTATCATGCTACCGCAGATTCAAGAGACATCTTGCTCACCAGGGTTACGAGGCATAATAGCTGCAGCTCCTTAGCCGAGAACGCCTGTCACAATGTCTTACCGATAATGCCATAGTCAACCCAATATGGCTGGTTCGTGTTGCACTAGGCAGGCTCCTTGTCTGCTGTGTAACCATAGTAGCAGTATAGTACCACCTTACACCGCTTCAGCGTCGAATACTATCCAGCTTCAGAATTAGATCAGGCGTCCAATACATACCTCGCTATCGTAGGTGGTCAAGTCGTGAAGGATGCCTCTCGTTTACTATTACAGAGTCCAGTTCAGACAGATCACATCATCTATTGAAGCAACTCGGCCTTGGCCTCGTATCGTCAATGCCTCTTTGGGCTATACGAGGTTGCAGCCGCTCCAAAATGCTGCTGTTAGCTATTTATTACCATTTCATGAGTGATAAAATGGCTCACCGAGTGGTATACAGCTTGAATGAGATTGCAGAACCAGAGATATAAATACAAGCAATTCCCGGACGCAGCCTCTGCTTCGAAACCACATCCAAAGAGCGAAATCCTTGTCCCATTCGGTCATCTTCTTGCCTCAAGACTATCTTGCAATCAGAATAATAAATCCATTTTCAAAATGAAGTTTCTCAGCTCCATCACTGCATTCACCATCCTCGCCTCAGTGGCATCCACGTCCCCCACCCCCGCCAACCTCATTCCCCGCGCCTGCACCACCATCGCCCCAACAACCATCGACGTCCTCGACAGCGCAAACCCCAACACCCCAAGCACCGGACAGCAGTTCTCCCTCGCCAGAACAGCCACTGCAAACACCAAAATATCCGCCCTCACGTTCACGGGCATCCCCGACGACGCTACAGGTTGTATGCTCGCCATCGACATCCCGGCCCTAGCACAGCCCATTGCGACGGGCTCCAGCCAAGCAGATATCTGGACTACCGATTCATGGAACTTGACTTCCCCTCCTACCTGGAACAACCAGCCTACTCGACGAGAGATGGTGTCGACTTTCCAGTTCCCAACTTCGCCAACGACATCCCCATTCCATACGATCCTTGCGTCGAATACTTGCTCGAACGAGATGAGCTTCCTGGCGTTGCAGTCAACGTGGCAGACTTCACCTGGGAGTGTGGACTTCCAGAATTCTATTGGCGGGAGTCAGCCGATTGGTTTTAGCTTGGTGTATGGTTGTTAGTGGACATTAGGGGAATTCATATAGGGTGGAAGAGGTGGCGGCGGCGTAGACCGATTAAAAGTTTGCCAACGCGGGGTGAGGGGAGAACCAACCAGTGGAGGAAAAAACATTGGGACGACTCTATTCAACATAGCGTCAACAAATAGAATATATTTTCGATCCTGCACATGTACCTAATTTTAGCCCTGTTGTTTCACTCCTACCGTGGGTTAGCCCTAAGAATGTGACATGTGCCAGATGCACCCGCCGAATAAACTTCTCTTCCTCGTTCATCCCCCTCATCCATGTCCTATGATTATTGTTCGCCAAGACCAGCCTTCCCCCTCGCGTCCTTGAACACGATGCGGTTACATCCGATTGAGCTAAACTATCATATGTACTGGATTTAACTTCCTCATTTAGATCTAGATCAGGTGAGAGCGGAGAATGAATCCACCTTATTTCTTCCCACTTGGCCATCCCCTAATCCCAGCTTACTGGCGTAGCTTAACGAGTAAAAGAATAGTCATGAAAAATGTAAAGTATCTATGGTTTGCGGTACAGAAATCGGTCTACTCATTCTTTTCCTCGGAACCCGACTCCGCCCATTTCGTGGTAAATGTATGATGGAGATGTTAAGGATGGTTATGGTATGACATACAATGATATACGTTAAGCTCCTTACAAGGAATCGTACCTTCTGCCCTGCGAGACGTCGGATTGTGTGCTTTACATAACAGGAATAACATGTATGAAATATATTTCAATAACTTAGCACTGCTGCCTCCTACCCAAAAATATACCAAGAAGGATCGTAACCAGCCCCAGCCCCAAGGATTCACATAGCTGCTAGGCCTTATCCTCCACATGCTCAGCCCTTACATCCTCCTTCTCATCTCCTCCCCTATTCGCGAAAACATGCGCTCTCCACCTCCGTGCCGGAACCCTCTCCGTGAAAAACATGGCGACCTCCATCCTCGTCCGCCCCTGCGTTTCACCCACACAATACCACACCCAAATCAGCGATGTCAGCGTCGTACCCGCATACACGAACCCGACCATCGGACCAAGCCCAGCGTCATAATACAGATACGGCGCCGTGAAAGAAATCACCCAGAGGAAGAAATACAGTGCCACGATCGATACTGACATGATTTTGTTCTGGTTCACGCCGACCGAGAGCTCGCGGGATACGGCGTAAGTAAGTGGGCCGAGGCCAAAGTTGTATGCACAGATGACGACGTAGGAGAAGACAACGATGATGTATTTGGATGCGGTGGTGAGGGTGGATTGGGTGCCGATGCCACCGATGATGATGAAGGCGATGAGGATGAGGGTGGTGCTGGCGAGGAGGTTGGTGCGTCGGCGGAGACGGTTTCCTGTTAGGATGGACGCGGCGACGGCGAAGATTTGCAGAATCATCGTGATGAGGGTGATGGTGAAGGGTTGCGAGACGCCGAGGGCTTCGGCGAATACGACTCCGTAGTTGTAGAAGAAGATTATGCCGCATATTTGTTGCGCGTACATGCCGCCTGAGGCCCAGATTAGCTTTTTGCGCTCGATGGGGTCGAGTAGGAGGGCGAGCCAGGAGGATTCCTCTCCTTGGGCTTCTTCGTAGCGTCGGGCTTGCGTGAGGAAGGTTAGGTCGGCTGTGGGGTCGTAGGTACGGTCGTTGCGGTTGATCTTGAGGAGAGCGCGTTTGGCGTCTTCTTCTCTATTGTGGAACACGTACCACGTTGGGGTTTCAGGGATGAAGGGTAGGAAGAAGAGCATGAAAAGGGGCAGTATGACGAGTCCACCCATAGGTAGTTTGTAGGATAGAGACGAGTGGATGGAATTGGTGCCTTGGGTGAGGCCGGAGGCGACTAGCTGCGAGCAGGATTGCAGGAACTGGTACATGTACAATGCTGGACTCCGGATCTCCATTGGTGCGACTTCTCCGATACTATGGAAGGGTCAGTGAGTCGTTTTGGATATGTACAAATGACAGCACTCACTAGAGTAGCGACGTAACAGTAAAGTTGCCCACTCCAAGCCCAATTAGAATGCGGCCAAGCACAATAACACCCTCAATGTGGGTGTCAGCAACCTGGGTCACCCCTCCAGCAAGCACAAACGCCGAAGCAATCCAGAGAACTGTTTTCCGACCAAAGCGATCATTGAGGGGCCCTGCTATGAGTGCTCCCAGCATATCCCCGATGTAGATGCTGGAGGTAGTCAGCGACGTAAAGCTCGTCGCTAATGCTTTCGCACCATCCTCATAGTGATCGCCGTAGTCATTCTTGAATTCCTGCATGCCTAGAATCCCGCTATAGTATGTGTTGTCATAACCAAACACCAGGGCGCCGATGGCGGAGATGGAGCAGTAGATCAAGGCCCACCGGTGACGGCGAAATTCGATGTCGAAGCCAAACATGATGGAGCATTAGCATTATCCCTTAAGACAGGTGACAACCTGGAAGGATTGATAGTGAGGCGATATGTGAATTTAAATATGCTAAGCCGAGGTTGTGCCCATAGCCCAGCATTCCCCGGGTATGAAGTAAGACGAAGGCGCACAAGAGAAGACAGCCAACGGAATACCGCCCCCACGTCGATCTGAACGGAATAGAGTGAACGATTGGCTCGCTTGGCTCCGATCTCTCCTCCCCCAGATGATGCCCCCACGGATGTGCCTTGATTTGCCGGGGGAATGCGGGGTAAATCAGACTAGGGCTGCGCTTGTCTGTGCTCATTCGGACAGAGTGGCCTGACGCTCAGTATCAAGGGTGGAGTTCATTCCTAAATCAGGCAGATGACGTGCCACGTTGCTGCAAAAGACAACCCCATTTTATCGCACCATACAGAGGGATTATGCAGGATGCGCCGAATACAATGGATTCGTAGGAAAAATTGCATTATGGCATCAACTCAAGTCTATTATTTTTCATATTACTTATGTCCTGATATCACTAAGCCAATAACGGAGAAATACTTCGTTCTGAGTCAACTCTGTTGGGGATGGAGACAGTGTCGCCGAACAGGCAAAGAAACGAAACAAATGGGCTCGTGTATCACTCATCAACGGGGGCAGTTTGGTAGGAGGTGAGAACCATCGGGTCGAGAGTGACATCGCACCAAAACTCCAGTTCAATAGCACTCAGACCAGAAACGTCGAGCTCTTCCAAGGAGAGGCATCCTGGAGCAAGTGATATGGTCCAGTCACTCATAGGGGTATACATGGTGTAATCCTGTCTCTGACCATAATCTCCATCGCAGATGATGATCTGCTGGTCATTGACCGAGCGGGTTTCGAAAAGCACCGTTCTACTGCTGCCAATGAAAAGCCGATGTGTGGTCTTCCACGCATGATTCGAGTCAAGGTTTGCCTGGCGGTCGTAGAATTGAGGTTGGCTATAGAGAAGCAGACCAAGTGGTCTTGATGACGATGACGTAGAAAGTTGTAGGCCTCGCAAGTAACATCTGGAGAAGGAATCAGCATTACCCAATATCAAGATTGTCATGGGAGTTATGTACCTCACTTTGTGCAACCGAATACGGATAAACGGCTGAAACTCCTCTTGCTCAGGCCCAATGGAGACCTCAAGGGGGTAACCTTGTTCAAACCTTCTTCTTTCAGATTCATCAACAGGAACAGAAATCTGGAAGACCTTCTTCTGTACTATTGTTGAAGACCCATATTCAGTTATAGCAGATTGAAGAGTGGCAGCATCATCAAAGTAGTCTCCAATGAACTTCACGGGCGAGCAAACAATAGGAAAACCTAGGTTGCCATTTCAGTCAGTCATGTTTCACGAGTATATTCGGTTTCCACAAAGTGAAAGAGATAGAGTCCCGACACACCGGACGAAAGTGAATGGTACATATATGCGGAGCGGTAGGTCCAGAAATCAAGCATCACAAAGGCGCGAACAGTAAGCAACCTATCAAACATAGCATCTTGAAGAACCTCCAATATGTGGTGATTAGTCTCTGCCTTAGTGACAGTAGACTCAAGAAGAGGCTGATTCTCTTTCTCTAACTTTCGGCGAAGATTCGCAGTTGTCAACTGGTAGCCTCGGCTGATGAGATTGGCCCGCGTCCGAATGACAGCTTCACCAGATAATGGCAAATACTTCAACTGTTTGTAGTATTCATTGAGACCCGCAATTTCTGGAATCAGGATAACCTCAGTGCTGTTCTCTTGATAGAAAACATGGGATATTACCGTTGCCCTCAAGCTAAAATTGCGGTCAGCTTTGACGATCTATTCATCATGCAACTATTGTCATCGCATCTTACGTACCTCTTTCTTGAATAGGTCCACGTCTATATTGAACTTTCTCCTGTTCCCGATCAGTATGCCATAAGTACCTGTAGAGTCAAACCCACCAATCGGCAATACAATTCTCTACGTCAATATTGGGATCTCCTATGTTCACAGATCAGTTTCGGCTTATAGGCGGTCATGGCTTTGTCAGAGAGAGAGAGGTATACCAAGTCCTTGAAACTGGCTTTTCGGTCCAGTGGATGTTTCCTCCCTAAAGACATTCACTAAACGCGTTGTTGATTGCACAGTCGTCCATGCAGAAGTCAATACCGGACTCCATTTATTGTAAAATTTCTGGATTCTTTTAATGATATCAACCAAGCGTTTAAATTTACCGACCTAAACTCTGGGTCAATTGAGTGCCTCGCATGAGCTATATTAATCGCATACCACAGCCTGAGCTTTTTCAGCCAGTTCAATTGGATCGGCTGCCGCGAGGGAGGCTCCTATAGGTTTTCAAGATGTCACTCGGGTTGTTTGACCAACCAATGATAAACTGGATATCTATCATGATAGTTACCTGAAGTGGTGAAAGCACCAACGACCGCACCAATGGTAGTTATACCGCATTTGATCAGCTCTACTACTGCTTTTACTTTCTGAAGTAATGGAAGACAGTTACTGTCAATGCCCGTGAAGGAGTGGTCAGGTATGTCATACCTCTTTTCTCTCCCATGAATCGAGACCTTCCCGAAACTTTATACAAGCTTGCTCAACATTGATCTGGTTTGACTGGAGCCTTATATGAGATTCTCAAATTCATATATCAAAGAAAAATCGATGGAACATACCCGGTAAGTGTCCTTAGCTCTTTTTTCGGCATTGAGAGCGTTGGTATACTCCCGATTAGCGAACCCCCACAAGCACTCGTACTCCTCCATGGCCATTCTAGACTTCGAAAGTAGAATGTTCGCATTTGTTCGGAAATTTTCAGCAGCGCTGCCCTCTCCAATGAACCGTTGAAAGCTAGAGTCAAAAGCTTCTGCAGCCTTCAGTCTCGATTTTAGGATCTGTTTCGAGCCATAAATATTTACTGAGGAGATGCTGAACACATGAGAATCAAGCTGAGACACTAGTTACTTAGTCAGTAAGATGTAACTTGTGTATAAAGGTCTGGGAACTCTTTTGTATAAGCGTACCGAGAAAGTCACGTAGCGTGGCCGATTCGTAGAAAAACCGGAAGGACCCCTTCATAGCTGTTGCCTTACAGACATAATTTAAGATCTGAAGGGCCAATACCGGGCTTTCTTGAATCAGGAATGCTGCCAGTAAGAACTGAAAAGAGAAAATGCGCTGGAGATTGCTGTGAAGGCCTGGTTAGTAGGAGTTTTGTTTGAAACTGGAGTAATCAAAGAGCAGTGAACTTACTCATTAAGATTCTCGTCAACCCTTACGATGCCATTGACATTCTCAAGCGTTTCGAGGTAGTCATGGAGCACGACATCCTCCGGAGGTGGCCTCTGCTTCTGACGGAATTTATGACCTTCACAACACTCAACCTCAACACCGTAGCGAGTGTCGTCGATCTTTGGGAAAATAATTTCTGTTCCATGGGGAGTATGGACTCTGAAACAGAAGTTTTCGGGAAGTTGGATGGTGTGAAAGGCGACAAGATCACCCACGTCCATGGTGATTGCGAACGCCCCATCTTCACTACCGAGTCCGTCTGACTGTATATCTCGTGCAAATATGACGAGGCGGAATTCGTCGCGTCTTTTCGGCAGAAGAATATTTGTTCTTTTAGGGACTAAGAGTGTATCGCAATAAAGTAACAGCCGGTAGATATCAAACTTGGCCTTGGTCTGAACTTCCGTATAAATGTGTTCTAGATCGATGACTGAATGTCTGTAAAAAACCTACAAGGCTAAGCTGCTGCTCACATAACTCAGCTTATACAATAGGCCTTACTGTTCGTGTGGCGTCTCTGAAGGAGACTCCAGATTCTAGTCGTTTCAGAAACGATTCTTCGCGGATTGGGAAGGTAGCATAAAATCTGGAGAGCGCCTGCTGTATGGACATTTTTCCGGTATTGGACTGATGATGATGATGATGATGATGACAATGATGATTATGATGACCTGAAGCTAGGAACAACGATAAGCAGTAGAAAATATATGATAGTTCCGTTTGCGTAGTATTCAAGCCTACTGCCTAACGAATGCGGGGTTCGGATCTGCTTGAGTTAGTCTGAACGTTCGACCTTTTATTTGACGCCGAAGCCCGACTAAGGCTTTTACATTATCTGGCGCTGCTTCAAACTACCGGAATTGCATCACATGCTTTTAACTGAGTGACTGCCTTGGGTATCAATGCATACCAGTAGTACATCATTGGAAGCTCAGATGCATATGGCAAGTCAGTCAGACATTGAGACATCCCATAGCTAGCAGGACCGGGTAATCTTACGATAATCATACTTATACAGGAGCTTGGCCAACCATGAGCTCGAGCCATATATTAGCAGAGAGGATCATGATATTTACGCTGTATTTTGCTCGGAGGTTGACTGAGAAAGCAGACAATAAGAGGGACAGTTCCTCTTCATGCAGCTGAGAGGTATGTATTGTACCTTGGGCATCCACGCGCAACAACATTAACTCCCCTCTAACCAACAAACAGGTGCATCTGTTTCGTCAAATTCATAGTGAGGCATATCTTAGGAATGCGGGCAGAACTCGACGCAACGACGCACATGGGTTGCTTCGCCTGGTGGTTCGCTTGATCGATGCATTGGCGGACAGAATGATCAATATTATCCTATCGTGCGGGGTTTATTTGAATTGGCAACCAATGGCCATGTCGGATTTGCCTCGGGCAGTAATGTAGTATCTGGTGCCTAATATGTTGTATGATAAGATGCATCTGTGCGAGAATGCTAGAACACGTTTCCCATACCACTCAACACTGCTGTGATAACAATGGGGATGCGTTGTCTGAACCTCGCAAGATAAAGGATGAGCCTTTCTTCTCTGCAACTTTCAATCCACTTTCTGATTTCTATACCTGTTGTATTCAGATCGTTGCTTCCACATTCGCTTTCATACAATTTATATTATAGGGTGTTCGACCAAACCTTGTAGGCTCAATCATGCCTGGCGCAGCAGTCAATGAAGAACATCTAGCCCCTCCACCCCCCAGACTGTTTACGAATCGGGATTCAGAGGCTCTGGAGCAATACTCAGCTGCTATACCTTGGTTGCCCCCCACAAAAGAGGCTTTTGACCGTCAGTTCACTGACCCTATTGAACGAATCCTGACGGGGGGCCTCGCTGACCCACCGATAAAACGGAGAAATCTCGATGATGCATTCTATGTAAGCATTATTTATTTATCAATACTTTGGTCAAGACACTAAAGCCTCCCTGGTGCAGTGTATCGCGTCTCTTCTGCCTGACATGATTTCCCAATTCACCGAACTGAAGGACAATGTCATTAGGCCGTCATTCTTGATACGTACGTATGGAAGCTCCAGAGTCCGAGACGTTAAAGAGGCTGACACCATGCATTTTAGTCAATGCTGTAGCAAGCTTTGCTCATTGTGCAACAGAATCCACGGAGCTTCTCCGTAGTTGCAGAACAGTCATCACCCGTGAGGGCGTGGCTCGGGATAATATTGAAGTGACTACCACCGTCCGTAGGGTCAATAGCTTTCTAAACGCGATGGGGAAGTTGATGGCCGAGAAGAAGACCAAATGTTCGACTTTGGAGACTTCCTTGGAAGAGGTGATTTCTTCAACGCTCAGAGATGCATGTTTAAGGTTTAACCCTTTCACAGTCTGCACGTCGGATTTCCGGCCACAGCTCCAGCTTCGATGCGGGCTTGCGCAATATGGGTGCCAATTGGCAAAATGCGTGTCGACTCTACTATGAGGCGAGTATGAGGTCAATTGCAGCTTTGCTCAGTGCTGAATATCGAAACTGGGAGGGTATACTCAATTGTTTCACTTTCGCAACTTCTGCTAACTGTTTTTTGAAGTGAACCGGCGGGTGCAGGACGCAGATCGTACGATTAGATTTATTAGGTGGATCTTTTGACTAGTTATACTTACGGTTTTACAGGCCATTTTCACGAAACGCGCCACAAATATCTTACGCATTTACCCACGGGTGTGGAAGATGCGGTAATAGCTTTGAAAGGTAAGGACAGTCTTACCTGGTCATGATCTGATATGGTAAAAAGAACTGATGAGCTGGTAAAAGGTACCTTGCAGCAAGTGCAAACAAAAATGGACGACTTGGTCAGACGATTCGGAAATCTCCGATCGGAGCTCGAGGCGCATTTTCGAGACGCCGACAGGCTCGAAGGGTGTGTAACCAATATAAAAACTAGCTTTACCGAGGTATCACCCCTGAATACCCTGTAAGAGAAACGGAATATCCACTAATCACTGAACCCGCTTCAAACTTCAGTTACATAACGCTGCGAATATCCCAGCACCTGCGTTTGTTATGGGTGCTGTTGAGAACGCTCGCCCAGACGCCCAGGCAGAATAGAATTGGCAAGATAATGCAACGCTATTCTTAAACAATGCAGATATTTCTATCTGGTATCAAGTCGTTTGCCAAACAAAGTGTTTGGGTCATAATTGGCGAAAGACTAGGTACATGATACTCCAGGACCCTCGGCCGTAGTTTTCCTTAACCTATCGCAAACCCTAGAATACCCTCCAGTCGCATCTTCCCTTTGAATTCTGCCACAGGAGTCTATGAGTAGTGTGCACGAATCAAAAGGTTGTCCCTTGTTGTGACAAATACCACCTTGATTGGTTCTAGACATAGTGGCTATTCAAATGTTCCTAGACACCTCGCGCCCATGTGTGATGTAAGATACACCATCAATTCATCTCCAATTTTAGTGTCAAAGCCGAGCCATGACTCCTGCTATCCTCAAACAAGCAGAAAGCCAGCTCTCCCAGCTTGTGAGAGCTCGGTAGAGAGCGCTATTGGTGCCAAGGTTCCAGAACCTCGTTCAATAGCCCAAACGAAGATCTATGACCCCATTGCCATTCTCCGGGAGTGGAAAGAAAAGTTCCAATAGTGCTGGCTGAGACGACGTAAAGAGCCCTTAGAGTAATAGCTACTAGAGCCCTTCAAGGTGTTTCAAACGGACAGATCAGGGGGGCACGTTGCCTGCTGAGGTCGCTTGGGCTGTTGCCATTGAGGTTACCAACATCGCGCTGCCATCGTTCTGATCGCATAAACATACATGGGTCTTCATGGTGAAAGCAAGTATAACCATATAAAAGGGAAATATACCCCTTAGTCGCAAGCACAGTGGTACTGCCGCAGCTAGTGTACGAGTGATTTAGCCTCCAGTTCAGGAAGCCACCATAGCAAGTTCCCAAAAGCTCATAGCTGCGCGCTCCCGCCGACAGGTTTCCACAAATTGGCAGGACCAATCGCGGCTGGACCTGCAGGGAACGGCCGTATATGGGCACCGACCCGTGATAGTGACTAACAGTACTTTAGCGGTTAATTTACATGCCCGGGAAGAGAAAGACGTACGATGCTTTCTTCCGTAGCAGTTCAGACATGCGGGATGAAACTCGTCCACTCAACGGTCACATAGGAACTCGATGGGAGCTGTCGCAGGCTGATAAAAGCCTCGATGATAATAAACAAGCGGGCCGGGACCAGGCAGGCACTGATAAAAGACATGACAACGTCCAGCACCCAAGCACGCCATCCTTTCTCTTCTTTGCCGCTAGGCTGGACCCATATCCATGTCAGGGACTGGTGACCGTCAAAGCCTAACGCGGTCAGAGTTATCCGCAGCATGCTCGACAGCGGAAGACCAGAAGCCAGGAAGACGCTCATGATGCGCCACATCAGCTGTTCAGTGCTCGTCGGGAACACATGGTTCCAGCCCAGCAAGTGGACAGCGGGATGTACCATGGCCTGGATCGATACCAGTAGCCAGGTGCGTTGACTCAGGCCATTGAACACGATTTTGTCATCTGGCATACGCTGTAGGGGGCTTTTCTGCGGGCGGAGATTCTCGAGGGTCGGTCGGCGATGCCACCGCTGGTGCGGCTTCTCCAGGAAATCGAGTGGTGTCTCGCGGAAAGGCTCAACACCGATCTCCCCAGCACTGTTGATCAGGCTTGTGACTGATCCGCTCTTGAGTTCGATAACGGTCGGCACCCCAACACTCTGTGGCTTATGCATCCAGAAGTAGTAGGTCATGATCGTGGATAACACAAACGCAATGGTGAAGAGCTCAAGCGGGGAGACAGCGAGGCCCTGTACGGCCCGGGCGATGGATTGGACCACGAGCCATACCCCTTGCACCAATGCTACGCATTTAGCGAATGTATCTGCCTTGCTTTTGTCCCAGATTTCCTCCGCCGTGATTGTAGGGCAGTCGATGTGGTGTGTCTCAACGAGGTAGTGAATTGAGGCGGCGGTAATGGGGAAGGGAGGGTAGTCTGTCGATTGAAGGACGAAGCCTCCGCTATTGGCGTAGAAAGCGTGTTTGAGGGTCCATTCTTTGTAGCCCAAGCGGTGCATGTCGCGCACCGATTCCTGGGCTGACTCGTACTGCATGGCGGAGAAGCCCACCAGCATGTCGGGGGCCAGGATAGCAAATGTTCCCCAGCGGAGCTTGCGCCACAGAACCGTCCAAAGGCCATCGTCGGGGGCCGGAATGTTCAGATGCAGAACTGTCCAGAGAGCGGTAGAGAGCACCAAACAACAGCCCCAGATAATATCGATGGTGCCCCGATCGTTGGGCGAGTCCACCCAGCCACTCACTTCGCCCTCGGGTAACGGTGCCATGATTAGTGCACCAGTATGTCTGGGTTTCCACGTGCTATATGAGTGAAGGAATCGACGCCAAATCAGTTTGCTCGAGATGAAAGAACGCAACGAACACCTCCCGCTAAAAGGTGTTTGCGCGGATCTTCGTGGTTAATGAACCCCTCCGCATGCTGGGCCATGACGGATCTTTTGTCGGCCAATGATGCATTAGTGCAGACGCAGGGGATACATATTCCGACCAGCGAGTCACAAATGAGAATGAAACACAAGAGATAGCCTGCAAAGCAGGATGGAGTCTCTCGCCAAGGGCCCGGAGCGTACAAGTGCGATAACAGGATATTACGATTGGCATGCTGCATGAGCTGTCAGGCCTAGACGCAGGGTCTTCACTCAGCAAAGACCATCCACAGAACGTGAATCATCTCCGCGTGGGGGCCAAAAGTACAATCAGGATTGGGAAACCATCAAGTCCATCATGGCCTGATGCACTTCTGATTCGAGCAAGAAAGTTGCGACCGGCGCACACTCTGAGACATAGATAACACCCTCCGTCCAAGGGATGTCTATAGTAAGCCCTCAGCAGGAATTGTGATACTTGGGGGCCGAGGAGCAATAGGCTTCGTCAACTGCAGTGGAACAAGGAGGGCAGCGTGGCTCTGGATCAATTAACGTGAACTTTAGCGGCTTGAGGGCCCGTCGGCGATAGGCCGCGAGGGGCCGCTGTGGGGGAAGTCGAGGGCACCGGTGCTGACAGGCGCTGACGGCTGAAGGACGAGAGCAAGCGAGCGTGACGCGAAGGAATTTCTGGTGGAGATGGGCGGGTCTTAAGCTAACGGGAAGGAGTTGTCCATCCGCAGGTTTATCCCTGAACAGCAGCGATTGGCGTCGCTTATCCCTTCAAGGAACCCATTGCTGTCCTCGGTGTTTCTCCAGGGCCCAATCAATGTGGCCAAAGCAACCTGGTCAATTTTTGCATAGTATCGGCAATTTGGGGGCCAAAAGTTACCCCTGCACCAGCGGGGATGCGACTCGAAGAGGAGAACACTCAGCGACGCCTTCATGTGCATCCCAGGCCTCGTGGCCGACCACGCGGACTACTAGTCGACAATGCATGCTGACAGTGGGTCAAGCTTGTACGCAGAGCACATTTTTCCTCAACACACACTCCCACATGCATTATCTACTCGATGTCTCACCACTTGTGCCAAGTCCAAAGTTTCTCAAGAGCATGAAGTTACCCAATATCGGGACTCAACTAAGCCTATGGTGTAACGAGGATAAGCCAAGTATTAGTCAAAGATTGGCCGGTCGCACATATCCTCGGGAACCACAAGGTTCAGGGGCATCGCATATTTTCGCAATTCTGAGACACGAGCCTTGGGTCGATGATCTACCCTCCATCAATTCGCTGGGGGCATGCTGATCGGAGCAATCGTGAAGATACGGCTGCACTTGGGTGCCAGATGTGACACGGGCACCGAGCGTTGCTAGCCGCACCTACAGTGCTTATTTTTATCTGAAGTCTGGTACAGCTGGGAGAGAGGGTAAACGCCTCTTGTACCGGTGCAAGGGTAATCGGGCCATAACGATGTTCTATCAGACGTCCTATTGCCGCTGTAGACACTCTCGAGCAAGCAAGCCACCTTCCTCAGAGACGACATGATTATTGCCAGATGCCTGATGCATAGAGTCTTCATACCTGCCCCACCAGGGTATGACCTTACCCTTCATAGTAATCTGTAATGTAGTCTAGCGTGCAAAGCCAATCGATGGCACTGGCGATGATCATCGAGGTGCATGAAGCACCATCAAAGATCACTTTGGAGTTTCAAGCCCAGATTCGGACAAGCAAATGGCTCGAGGTAAGACATTCTCCCGAGCTGACCCGGTGGGCTATGCTCCGACAGCCTATTCTTGTTCCATGGCTATGCTTTTGCTCCGCCAAAGTGCACAGAACGCCATGGCGGGATACCAGCAAACACCGTCCGTACCCAGGCGAGCAAAGCCTCTGGTATCAATCACTAAAGGCATACAGTTCGGCCGATAACAGGCCGAGATTAAATATGCACGTGAAAGACCGTAGCAGTTCTGATTCATCTGAAGGATTTTTAGTGGGTTTTGCTGAGCGCACAGTATCGATATCATCTTACCGACTAAACGGGAAGGCGGATATGGAAAGACCCCACTAGAGAGTGTCTAGACCATCAGTCAGTAATGATGAATTCCATACACTGCTGATGACATGAGATTTGCCTTGTGCCTCTGTAGGTCGGGTCGAGGTCCCTCAGTCCTCTGTGACCCGGACAGGTGGTGTA